TTATTCAGTGTTTGAGCTCGAGATTGTCGGAACACCGTGTTTTTTCACTTTGTTTTCCAAACCAAATGGTGCCAATGCATAAGTGCAAAAACCTGCATTCAATACCTGTTAAAATATAACTTAAATATAATTAAAATAACTTTGCAGCATAAGGAGGCTTCCTTGTCTTATTCTGCATTTATTAAAAGTAAGGTCGAGATAGTATTTCCAATATGGCAACCACCAACGCTGGGCTTCAAAACGCCTCTTCAGAAACAAATGGAAGACGTCACTGAGACGACATCCGTGTTTTATACAGTCTATGAAGAATCCCCGTTAGGTCCCGTATTAAAATGCCTCAAAAAATGTTTTAAAAATGTATTGTAACTCATTCGTTTCAATTGAATTTAGCCTCAGAGCTTTTCATAAATATGCATAGTTAGCTATATGGCTGAGTTGACTGACAGCTGGGGAAAGATGTAGCTGTTTACCTGGAGGCTTAAAGCCCACCTCGGCTCCACCTATTTGCCTGAGAAGTTAGGTTGAGATAGCATTTCCAATATGGCAGCTTTCATTGTTGGGCTTCAAAACAGACAACCTCTTCAGAAACCAATTGGTGACCTCACTGAGACTACGTCCATGTTTTATACAGTCTACGATCTGATCCGTGAAAAAAAGACTGTAGAAATGATTGAGAAGACGTCTACCTGAATGTTAGTGAACGAGTATTGAAGTGTTGGAGCTTGTAGTCTTCCATCACCGTAAACAAAATGACGGAGCCGTTTGGCCGTGCACAGTATGCGTATGCATGTGTGTGCTTATCCACTCCTGCCTCGCTCTGATTGTTTGCAGAAGCGGCGGATTAATTAGTTTTTGTTTACATGTATACCCTCCCAAACTCATCTGATATGCATCCAAGCTAATTAGCTGCTAGCGCTTAAAAGAGGACATAATATTATCATATTAGCTCTTTGGCTGAGCACCCATTTCATGTGTGATATACTGTATCGCTGTCCCAAAATAAACAGGTAGGATTAGCTCTGATTCCAGAGGCCGACTGCAGCTTTTTGTAACGTGCCATCGACACTTCCATGAGTCATCATCTACAGTGTCTCTTTTATCTAGGACGCTTACCCCGCTAACCGCTGCACACAAACACACCGTTTACTTCTCATTGTGTTTATGCTGTTGTCTTCCCTCCTGCCTCCCGCTCGTTCTCGTCCCTCTAACCCCGAGTAGAAGGGGCAGGGAGAAAGTCGAACGGTTGACGTGTGAATGCCAATAAACGGATGCCTCTCTCTCTCTTCCTCCTTGCCCTTGCAATTCCCTACTGGAAACCCCCCTCTTGCTTGTATAATGGCACCTGTGTTCCTTTTTTTCTTTTCTTTTTTTCCTCTCCTCTTCCATCCACCTTCCTCAAGAGAGAAACACGCTGAAAGGAAAAAAAAAAAATGTGAGGGATGGGAGCGCGTTTGCAAGAAGAAAAAGGCGGTTTACAGTCGGAGCAGGAGAAAGAGAAAATAAAGAGACAGAGAGGAGTGTGAGATGTGTGTGTTTGATAGCACCTGTATTCGCTTTTCCGCCTCCCTTGTTCCCAGCGGATGCCTGTCACCATGGACTCACTGGACTGTTTTATCGCTCTCCCATGGCTCTCCCCTTCTTCTCCCCCTCTCTTCTCATCGGCTCTCTCTTTTTCTCTCTGTTTCTGTATCTCTCCCTGGGTCTTTTAAAGGATGTGTGTGTGTGTGTGTGTGTGTGTGTGTGTGTGTGTCTGTGTGTGTGTGTACGTGTGGTGTTCATGACTGAAAATGAGAAGGTGAATTCTTAGGAGCATAAAGGAATGTGAGCCGGAGACAAAATAAGTATTGTTTCACTGAGAACATTTCATCTACGCGAGCCAACTCTCCTCGCTTTGGTAATATTTTTGGATTCTGCACGGCTGGATGTGACCCAGCGGACATTATCTGATAAAACTCTAATTTCTTCTCAATCCCTCTAGCACAAGTTTTCCAACTTAAGATAAGACTGTTGCTTTAAAAAAAAGAAAAAGAAAAAAAAGAACCAGGTTTGGAGGGTGTAGACATTTGATGATTGCGATCAGCTAATTAGCTTAGCTTTTTTCTTTTTTTTTCTTTTTTAAGGATATCTGTGATGGATTTTCTATCAAAACATGATTTTAAAAAGCACTTTTTGAACAGAAAAAAAGGTGCTAATGAACATATTGGGTGGCCTACAACTTTTGGAAATGCTCTTTTATTTTTTTTTACAGCTTCAGTGTTTTTGCCTGTCTGCATGGGAATGCCCGCTAACATTAATTGTTGTCACGATTTATCAACATGATAAATGGAAAGCCACCAGTACATTCTCAGTGTTGCATCCCACTGACTTCTGCCTTTTGCATTAATTTTCCATGTTGGCGTCATCGACTGAGAGCACTTAGCTGTTAGCAGCGTCTTCCTCTCCGTGTGACCTCTTGTCGTTTCTGCTGCCTCAGGCTATGGTGGAGACTGTGAATAATTTGCTGCAGCCGCGAGCCCAAGCGGCCTGGAGAGAGCTGCCCACCAGCGAGCAGCTGCACTCGGCCACTCTGCTCCTCGACACCGTGGAAACCGGCGCTTTTATGCTTGCCGACAACCTCCTCAAGACGGACACTGTGCAGGAGACCACTGACAACATCCGTGAGTACTTTTGATTTTATTTTTGAATTCTTCCCTTCGTTTCCTGTCCTCCAAACTCAGCAAGACCTTAAATCTGTCCGAGAGCATGTTGAGAAACCTTCAACCAAAGCACCGCTGTTGAAGCGTCACAGAGGTCAAGTACTGAAGGCTAACGCTGCTGTGTTGAATTGTGGGATTGAAGGACTGGTTCAGCTCTAATGTGTTGTTGACCTCACCCGTATGCAGTAAGAAGCAGAAGTGACATAATATTGACTGAAGTGTAGTTCTTAGATTTCACCGTTTTTCACTTTTTAGGTCTTGTAAAAAAAAACATGAGCCCCATCAGGCTTCTACAGAGATCTAAGAATATGATGTAATATCATTGTAAGAGGCTACACGCTGACAGTGGGCATCACTGAACAGTCCGCCCTCAGATCTGTGTTTCATGGTACAAATGAGAGACAAACTCAACTTTCCAACTTCAAAGTGAGTGAAAAAGAGAGAAGCAGAATCCTTCATGTGTAATAAGACAAACAGGTCCTGAACATGTGAACAGACATTGGTAGACATGAGCGCAACTCGTGTAAAAAATGACAATTATTATTTCATGCAGGAATAGTTTGACTGTCTGCAGTTCATTACACATCTGTGTTTAATACCGCTGCTTGATTCTAACTACAAATGGTCTACTAAACCTGGATAGCACTCCATTGTCAAGAAGATCAAACTGTTACTATGACGCGCAGGCTGTTGCTATGGACACGGCTCTGATCACAGACTCTTGACTACTAATTGTAATGATATCAATCTGCAGAAAGAAGTCTGGTTCAATTGTTGTCAGTCTGTTTCGATGGGAGAGGATAACAGCGATGAGAAGAGAGTTAAAATATGCAAAAAAAACAGGGCACTGGTGGCATGGTGGTTGGTGCGCCAGCCCATGTGCAGAGGCTGCGGTCCTTCAGGAAGGTGGTCCGGGTTCGAGTCTAACCTCTTGCTCCTTTCCTGCATGTCATTCCTCAATCTCTCCAACCTTCAAAAAAGAAAACCTGTATGTTATGACAGAAAACTGTCCCAAACTGAAGATCGCACATGAAGTAAACATTTAATGGGATGTGGTTTTTGGATACGGTGACGTTTTAAGGACTACTTACTGGTTAAAAAATATCAACAGACTCCGACAGAGACGAGACAGAAAAAAAAATAATCAATGTGCTGCTCTGATTCATGCCGACCTGTTCACCTCGTCTCACGTCACCATCAGTTAATTGTGAGTTATAACAGATGAGCTCGCTCAAATATCATGCTGCAGAGATAACCTTTAAGCTACTATGGACGCATCTGGAACTGTCCATTCCAACAAAAAATATCTAGATTTTGATTTCAATTATTGACTTTTTGAGTAAAAAAACAATAAGATATGCAGGTTAATACATACTGAGCGTGTTGCTGTAGTGCAGGAATCCCTACAGGGTACGAGGAGACTTCATGTCGGGGTCCTGCTCGCCCTGTTTACATCACACTCATCAGACATAATCCCTTACATATCTAACAAAAGGAGATTAAATAAACAGAACAAGAACATGAAATACTAAACACTGACCTGTTGAAATCTTGTGTTCATTTGTTTCTCATATTTGCGAGGAGTTCTTAAAGAGAAGAAAAACTCATGGGAGTTATGCAAGAAAGTGAAACTCAAGATTTCCCAGAGGAGATCATTCTCTAAAGGAAACTGAAATCATTTAATCAGTTGTGTGTGCATGACCGAACATTAACAATGACATGAAGGGAAGTCAAAGATGGCCGTGTTGTATTCATGTATCTTCCTCTAAAATCAAAGTTAAACAGAGCAGATAAATAATCTGGTTATTTTGCATGTTTGCAGCTTGATGTATTGACTTTCAATTTGTTCCCGACATGCTGTGAGAAAGAAGAGCAAAATGAGTGAATTCGATAACCAAACCTTCATAATTTGAGGGGATGTATTGAGCCATTTCACCACACTTAGACTAAAAGAGGCACCCTGCAGCTTTCCGTCAATATACCGGTGTGTCTTATCTTAATACAATAACAACGACTCCCTCTGTTAAAGACCTTAAAGCTACTGTGAGGAGTTTTTAACAGTTTTTAACAAAGAGAAATGAATATTGATGCCTCTGTACGACCTACAAAAAGCAATCAAGACCATCGTCATGACGATATACTGTTAATGTAGAGTTATATTGAAGGTCTGTTACTGTATGCCCTGTGTAGGGGAGGCCAAGACTCCAACTTGAATAAAGATCCAACTCCCTCACTTCCAAAGCAGACACGGAGAATATTCACATGTTCACCAGGACGATACAGAGAAATAATATACAGCCACATATTAGGGATAATATGAATAACTAAGAAAAAGTGTTGTCGTCAAGACCACACTAACAGAGACCAACACATACCTGAGACCAGAGTAATCAGAGACATGTAGGGATTGAGATTGAGTCAAGACCATGTCAATGAAAAATCATCGACTTGTTTGCACAACACCAGCAAGAAACTACAAATGACTTAAAGGCTTTCTATGTGATTCTTCACACTTAAATATAATAGAAATCAAGTATATCCTCTGAAAATAACTCTGTGAGTCATGACTGTCTACAATGGGTGTAACACCCGAGTCCCACTGTCTGTGATGATTTCAGAGTTTTCAGAGTCCTATCTTCACTTTGTTCACATCGCCCGGACGGCCGGCTGACTCCTCCCCTCACGTATAAAAGTTGTTTAATTGAGGGACTAGAGAAAAGAAGAATAACATACTGTACTCACTGCTTAACTGTGTTTCTAGATCACGCTCATTTCAGGTAAATTTACATGCAGTGTGAAGATACCAGCATAATAAAGATCGCTAGCATTAGCATGCTAACACAACAATGCAGCGCAAGTTGTTTTGGTTTCATGCTGGAGCTCAAGGCGACATCTGCTGCATCAAAAAATCGCACATAAAGCCTTTAAAGTTATTCTTTTTTTTTTTTTAGAAAGAGGCATTTCCTTCTTATCACAGGTATGACGTGTAAAAATAACCCCTCGGTGGTGTTCTTGGTTTAAAATCCAGAGTCAGTCCAGTCTGAGACTTGAGCCTGAACAGCCCTATGTGTGGCTCCACAAACATCTGAATGAAACCAGGAAAGAACAACAGTTTATAACTGGAGCAGCATGTGTGCTATAGAGTCGATGCATTCACAGCTTTTTAAGCGGCCCTGTTCCATTATGTATATCCGGCCTGTAAAGCTGTCAGAGAGAGGTCGAGATGAAGCCGTCGAGGTTGTTGTGAGAGAGGAACTCTGACGGGGTCAAATCCACAGAGACCCATCCTCATCCTGAACAAACTGCAGGGAAAACAAGCGAACCTGGAGGCTTCTAAAGGCAGGGCTGAACCGCTTGCCAGAGACAATAATTTTTATTTATTTATTTCCCCCCTCCTCCCTCCACTTGTAGGCGGAATTGACAAAGCAGAACAAAGCTAGTTATTATGGCATTGTGCACATCACTTTCCTCTCGTCTCCCACTTCCTCCTCCTTCCATCATCTCTCCTCTCATCTTCTCGCACTGATCCCCTCATCATTGGGCCGTGGAATAAGCGCAGAAACACTGGAGAGAAAGGGGGGGGGGGGAAACACACTTTTGCTTTTCATGCCTTTAGACGATGATACATCTGTGAGCCGTCGTTTCAAACGCGCCGCGCGGACTCATCGCTAATGTTTCCTTTGATTATCCTCCTGTTTACTCCCCTTTTCATTTGCTATTTGGAGCATTTCCTGCACATGATATCTCCCCAGGATTCACTCATAAGTCAGAGATGAAAAGTGGTGGAGGAGAAGAAGAAGAAGACTGGATGAGTGCATGCTCGAGGGTGATGATGATGATGATGGTGGAATGTCAAATTATGCTCTAAGGGGTTTTTCTTTTGCTCACTTTCACATCAGCAGGCAATGAAATCACAGTTATTTAAGCCGCATAAGAGGAGATAACGTTTCAGACGTCTCCCCGTGTCACGCACAGTAGAGACAGGTTCCTCAAAGTCAAACATGACTCGCCTTTATTCTCAAAAAAAGGAAAAAGAAATGTAGATTCCCTGCAAACCGCCATCCCACACACTTTCACCTTACATCATTTAAAAACTTATATCTCGTTAAATTCTTCTTCTCTGTAAGCACTTCATAAATACAGTTACATAAACAGCGATGGAGATATAGGCTGCCACATTTCTGAAGAACTTAAAGCAGGAAATTATCTTTTTGTGGATTTTTTTTTTTTTGTCTCTGCATTGCTCTCCTTTCTGTGCCGTTAATCTTCCCTCCCAGCTAATCCAGTGGGCAGATCCACCGTGATTATCTCTTCCTTTTATTCATAACCGGCCCTATACCGCCTCTCATCTCTCTTCTTTTTTTTTTTTATCTTCTCCTTCTTCTTCTATCCTCTCTCTCTCTCTCTTTCTCTGTCTCTGTCTCCTCCCTCTCCACTTTCTTCATTGCACTTTTTAAGACCCCCTGTTGTCCTTCAGAGGGAAAGAGAGTGATCGGAATAAATTAGGAGAGTGACGCATTATTTTTTGTTTTTTTTAAGAAGCCGTGGCAGCTACTGTAGGTGATATTATTGTGTTAGATTGTGCGTTCGACTGTGTATCAGGCAGATGAATTAAAAAAGAAACAACGTTATTAATAGAAGCAAAAAAACAAGCGATTTGAAAGGGATAACACAGCGTGCGTGTGTGATAACGATAATGAACAAGTGTGTTTCTTAGGAGGAGGATTTGTCATGACAGGGATGCTTTAATTAGATTAGACTCAGCGTGTTTTTTGATACCCTGCCGCTGTGTGTGGGTGTGGATGTGGATGCGAGCGTTCATGTATGTGCCGGAGTGTGGGTGGGTCGATGTCTCATTTTTTTTTTTTTTGTGTGTATGTGTGCACGGCTGCGCACAGCTTGGACGTTTATTTTGGCTCCGGTACAAGTCAGGAACACTTAACCAGTGTTTTCTCTTCCCTTATGCCAGTATTTGCATATTATCAGTGTCTGTGTTTATGTCTGCTGGCCTCCATTTCCTCCCCGAGACCTCGGTATCTCCCGCCTTTGTGCCCTATCTGTTGTACTCCGCCGGAGAACATGGTCCTCCTTCCACCTATCACCACTCCGGCCCTCTTCCTCTCAACATATCTCATCCCTCCTGCTCCTCTGACTACCCACTTTATTTCCTCTTTTTCTATTTTACCTATTCCGGAAAAAAAACCTTCTCCTCGACCTCTTCAACTTCCTTTTCCTTTCACCCTCTTCTCCCACTCCACCTCCTCCTCCGCTCTCATTTCCATCCGAGCATGTCCTTGTGTTGTTTATTTGATCAGGGAGCTGTTTTTTTTCCTCCCATGGAAAAAGCGGCGTCTAAATCACCGAATCGCTCGGAAAGCACAAGATAGCGATACACCAAAGGTATAATTAGTCCTTAATTAGAAACTTTATCTAACACATTACACGGCCGTAATCGGGGATGAGCTAACGAACCTGGATGGAGAAAATTAGATTCCCACAATACAACAGAGAGCGGATTATCTACCTTCGATGTGCCGGACCGGTTGCCTGGAGACATGGTTGCCTTTTTTTAGTATATAAAAAAAAAATAAAAATCCAAGTTATTTCACTTTGATGCGTGTCAGCTTTTTCATTTTCTTTGTTAAGAGAGAAGCTGGGAAGTGCTGCAGGATTCATGCTCGTGTTCTGCTGCAAAGCACTTACTGAGAAAACACGGTTATTACAAGAGGCTGCAAAACAAACCTGATGCAGCGGGCTGTGCAAAGACTTGACATTAGGCTGTGTGTGTGTGTGTGTGTGTGTGTGTGTTCCTGTGTAACTGTGTGTGTTACTGTGTGTGTTACTGTGTGTGTGTTTCAGAGCTGGAAGTGGCCAGGCTCAGCACGGATGGGAACCTGGCCGACCTGACATTCCCTCAGTCAGAACTACACGGAAACTCCATCCAGCTGTCAGCCAGCACTCTTAAACAGCACGGCAGAAACGGTACAAGAGAAATCTCACACACTCTCTCTCTCTCCCTCGCTCTCTCTCTCTCTCTCTCGCTCTCTCTCTCTCTCTCTCTCTCTCTCTCTCTCTCTCTCTCTCTCTCTGTATGACATCTACAACCGTTCCTCCTCTCTCTCTCTCTCTCTCTCTCTCTCTCTCTCTCCTGAGCCCTCTCCCTCTCTCTCTCTCTCTCTCTCTCTCTCTCTCCTGAGCCCTCTCTCTCTCTCTCTGTGACATCTACAACCCTTCCTCCTCTCCTCCTCTCTCTCCCTCTCTCTCTCTCTCTCTCTCTCCTCTCTCTCTCTCTCTCTCTCTCTCTCTCTCTCTCTCTCTCTCTCTCTCCTGAGCCCTCTCCTCTCTCTCTCTCTCTCTCTCTCTCTCTCTCTCTCCTGAGCCCTCTCCCTCTCTCTCTCTCTCTCTCTCCTGAGCCCTCTCTCTCTCTCTCTCTCTCCTGAGCCCTCTCCCTCTCTCTCTCTCTCTCTCTCTCTCTCTGTGACATCTACAACCCTTCCTCCTCTCCTCCTCTCTCTCCCTCTCTCTCCCTCTCTCTCCCTCTCCCTCTCTATCTCTCCCTCCCTCTCTCTCTCTTTCTCTCTCTCTCTTTTTCTCTCTCTCTGTCTAACCCACTTTGCAATACTTCTTCCTCTCTCTCTCTCTCTCTCTCCTCTTTCTCTTTCTCTCTCTCTCTTTTTCTCTCTCTCTGTCTAACCCACTTTTCAATACTTCCTCCTCTCTCTCTCTCTCTTTCTCCCGCCCTCTTGTCTATTTCTGTCATCATTGTTTAAGCCAGCAATTATCAAGCGCACCCTCTCCTTTATCCCCGTGCGTCTCCTTCCAGGTGAGATCAGGATGGCCTTTGTCCTGTACAGGAACTTGGGTTCCTACCTGTCCACAGAGAACGCCAGCGTCAGACTGAGCAGCGAGGCGGTCTACCCTAATTACTCTGTGATCGTCAACTCCCCGGTCATCACGGCGTCCATTAACAAAGAGAGCAATAAGGTGTACCTGTCTGAACCCGTGGTCTTCACTGTCAAACACCTGCAGGTAAGAGAGGCGCAAAGGTGACCACTTCTATTCCAACAAACAATAAAGAATCACTTGTGTTGTGAGATAATGGGGGTAGAAATGAAAGGTTAAAGGTTAATGCCTCTGTGATTCTAAATTCTCCTTACGCAGCACATCCAATGAAAAAAAGAAAAAAAAAAAAGAAAACAGCAATTAATTCAACCAGTGAACACGGGTCGTCTGGGTATCCAAAGCTTGAAATACTTAATTCTGCTGAGCTGTATCGCTTCATTATAAAAATCTAAAATAACGTTAGAAATAAAGTGTGTGGGGGCGCCGGTGGCCTTGTGGTTGGTGTCTGCACCCCATGTACAAGGGCCTGTGCTCCTCCAGGGTGAGCGGACAGGCTCTCTCTCTCTCTCTCTCCCTGATGTCTGACTCTACCCATTGTGCTGTGTCTTAGTGATGGCCCAAAAAGCCCAAAAATAGTCCTTCAAAATAAAATGTAAAAAAAAAAAAAAAAAAAAAAAAAGTGCATGGTTGTCTCATGTTTCCATCTTAAATAAACATGGCCACTGATGTTTTCAAGTGCATGCTGATACTGATTCTGCAAATACTATCTATCGCATCAAAGTGTGCATTGATTCATAGATTAAAAAAAAAAAATCATAGCCATTGTTTTGATTTATTTAGCCTTTTAAAAAAATGATGTTCATGTCTCATTTACAAGTTGTTATCTTCATTAGAAACATTTGGCCTCATGCTCGAGTGACACACACACACACACACACACACACACACACACACACACACACACACACACACAGACACACACACAGAGGCTGTTCTGGTTTTTAATAACGATTTCCAAGCACAAGAAAAAAAATCTATTCCTCTGATAGTTTCAGAGAGTTCAGAGTTTCAGACTCTAGCCAAAAAAAAGTGAACTCATACATTTTGTCTTATTGAATTATTTGTAAGAAGAGAAACTTTATTAACACAGCTTATAAAAGAGGTTAAAAATGATGAGTCATCTGTGGCCATTGTTATAAGATCTAAGAGCGGAGATGTAATTGCTTTTAAATACATGTATGAGTGAGCATGATGGCTGTCTTGCGTCCCCTGTGTCTGTTCTGTGCTCTTGGCTCTGCACTACCTCAAAAAAAAAAAAAAATCCCCATTCACATGCAGTTTGCATCTATGTACTGTAGGGGCAGTGTAGAGGCAGCAGGGATTGTAGAAAGTTTTTGGAGACCAGTCTGCACTTATCCACATCTGTACGGTGTGTCATTGCGACTGCACAGCGACGAGCCAGCCTGTCAAAGCAGCAGGCGACAGATAAGTCCCAATTTAGAAGTTGTCATGGAAACCTGCAAAACTAAATGGACACACAGGAAATGCCTGAGCTGATCTGATGTGACTATTTATTATTAATGTTACTATAATGTTAGCGCTCATCTCAGAACATAGGAACCCTACCCGAGTGTCGACCATGTTTGTAGTTCACATCCAGCACAGATGATAGCTGCATACAGCCTGAGCTCCCTGGTGTCGCCCTCTAGAGGTTTCCTCCAGTAGCGTGCAACGTGCACTGCCAACTATGTGTGAACAAATACATTCATGGACTCTGCTGGTTGTGCACGCCGACACAAGGTTAAAACAGTGAACGCGGCCCCGGCTTAAAGGTCTTACCACTGACTGAACGAAGGCTGCTTTGTCTACAGGCACTTGATTGTCCTCGCCCATATTACAGAAGATATTACTCATTCTCATGCTCATTCAACAAGCAAATGTTGATCCAGTTGGTGATCCAGCTTGTAGGCAAAAAAAAAAAAAATCCTCAGTGTCTCACTTTGCTCATTTTGTGTGTTACCATACAAAACCCAACACACACACGCACACACACACACACACACACACACACACACACAGGCTCATCAGTTTACACAACACAAGCAGCTCCTACACTCCACAATCTCACACAAGAAGCGTGGACACACCGCCGCCACCGCCGCCACCGCCGCCACCACCACCACCTCCTGCCATGGCTCTCTGTTTATTTGTTGCTGCATCCTGTCCCTTCTGTTTGTTGTCTTGTTGTTGTGTGTGCTTGACTCCCTCTCCGTGTTTCTTCCTCTCCATCCTTTTTTCTCTCTCCACCACTTCCTCCCACCGTTTTTCTCACTTCTCTTTTGGCTCTCCCAACGCTCCATGTATCTACCTCCCACCTCCCCCCATGACTAAGTATCTGTGCTCTCTCTTTCCTGCTCCATCACCCCTCTTCATTTTGTTTTTTTTGGTTCCTCTCTCACTCTGTCTCTCTTTCTTCCCTCCTCCCTTGCCCCCCCCCCCCCCCCTAGCATTCGGAAGAGAACTTCAATCCCAACTGTTCGTTCTGGAGCTACTCCAAGCGCACCATGACGGGATTCTGGTCGACGCAGGATTGCCGTCTCCTGGCGACCAATCGCACGCACACCAGCTGCTCCTGCACGCACCTCACCAGCTTCGCGGTGCTCATGGCCCACGTGGAGGTCAAGGTAGGCGTTTTGTTCTGCTTTCCCCCTGCCAGAGCGAGGAGTGCTGGGCATGATCAAAGGATTCGGCCTGGCAAGGGCGGACGACGTTTTCTAAAAAAGAAAATGTGGACGGCAGGAAGAGAGGCCGACCACAACATCTGGAAAAAAGATCTGAAATCTCCGGACTCTCTTGCAGTGAATAATCACACTTGGCAGGGAGAATTTTTACAATTGATTCGTCAGGCCAGATGATGACATCGGGGTTGACAAAATGCATTTTCAAATATCTGTGATGGGAGTCTTTGGATGTTTTTAATTCACCATAGAATCTTACATGAGAGATAAAAAGCTGCCGGCCCTCTTTTGTGACTCTTCAGAAAGTGAAGGTGGCTCATTTATGTTGATATCCTTGAGCCACTGTCTGCAGTGGATAAAAGCCTCATTGTCCCCCACTATGTGTGTGTGGGATAAGTACTTTTTGTCTCCTCTCTTTTGTTTCGTTAAGACTTAGTTTCTCCTCACAAATCAGCTCTTGTAACTCTAGATATTGTGTGACACCCAGCCTCTCCCTCTGGGCCAGAGATTGTGTGTTACTTCCAAAGGGGTCATGGTCAGAGCTAGTTTGCCAGCTCTTTGTGAACACAGTGTGTGTGTGTGGGGTTTGAGCAGTAGATCCATCACAGCAGTGCTGTGTTGAACATTGCTCTGGCTGCCAGGTTGCAGGACACTGATGGATAGAGCCAGCGCACCTGTGCAACACGGCGTAACGCTGTGGCCCTGAACGCGACACACAGCCCCCGACGTGTCTTGTCCTTATAGTGTGTATGTCCCATGTTGCAATAGCATGACTCATGACTCGTGTTTTTCCCACAATCAGAGGGTATAAACAAAGCTAAATATAGCCCTATCTTTTCTTTCCACTTTCCACAGAAGGCAGACAGCATGCACGACCTGCTCCTCGATGTAATCACATGGGTGGGGATCCTGCTGTCGCTGGTCTGCCTCCTTATCTGCATCTTCACCTTCTGCTTCTTCCGCGGACTGCAGAGTGACCGCAACACCATCCACAAGAACCTCTGTATCAGCCTCTTCATCGCTGAGTCACTCTTCCTGGTTGGGATCAACAGGGCCGATCAGCCGGTAAGAAGGGCGGGGGGGGGGGGGTGTTGCTTTCTGTGTGTGTGTGTGTGTGGTGGAAAATACATATATCACATGTGCTTGCATGGTCTTTGTGCCATGAGGGACACGTAATGGACTGTCCATAACTGTGATTTGTATGCCTTCTTGCAGATACAGTACTGGCCAGGGGGGATTGTGTTTTTTGGGGTTGTCCTTTTGGTTCTCAAAAATGCGATATCTCAGCAAAGCACTGTGGGAATTTACTCAAATTAGACACAACCCTTCACCTGCACTTCAAGATTACCTGATGGGAATTTTGGCCGAACATCATGGTCACTGTTACAACACAAAACAGATGTATGGTCATAAGTAAGACAAAGCCACACACATTAAGATAATGTGCCAAAGTAATGACATTTTGAACATAAGAGAGGCAGACGCAGGCTGTGAGTCATTCATTTACATAAACAGAATAATAAAAAGCACAATTAAGAATCAGGTGGATGTGAGTTTCATGTGTTGTGTTGTGTGATGAAAGGATGTTTAGGGCCCTGAGAGGAAGAAACCCTGCAGGAGAAGAGAGTCTCTGTCAGATAGGAGAGGAGCATGGAACTTGTTGATTTCTGTCACAGTGATCAGCACTCTGTACTCCATCTACCTGCTGCATAACAAAAACAGAAGACATAACATATGCAAACAAACAAGGAGACAGTCACAGTATCCCCAAAAAGGTCCACCGCACTTGTGCTATTTAAATGTCCTGTAAAAACACACACAGAGAGGGGTAGATTGGGATTTGGAGATCCCGAAACAGGTGATTGTGTAAATCTGCCGTTCTGTCAGGCTGTATAAAACATGGATGTAGCATGAGTGACGTCACCCATTGGTTTCTGAAGAGGTGAGAAGTGGTGCACCCACCATATTAGAAATGCTTTCCCCACCTGACTTCAGCGTGCACCAATAAAGAAAACGGTTAAACGATCAGGTTGTAAACATGTTAAATTCTGCTGTAAAAATGGGATTTTTTTTTTACAGTGTGTTCTTCTGGTGCTTTGGGAGGCTGCCTCTAGTGGACTGTTGAGGAACTGCAGTTGTTCTTTGCTCTTCCCCATTGGATTCAGTATTAACACCAGAGGTTGACGCGTGGTGTGAGGCATCCATGTTTTAGAGTATTCCTCTTCTGTGCAGCGACATCAATATTTGATGTCTTTCTGTCCTGGCTGCAACTTTGACTTTTCTGAGCATAAGCTTACAAGGACTCTGCCTCTGCTTTTTGTTTCTCTCAATTAACTTACACAAAAATATAAATACAGCAGAACAGGAACTTTAACTTTAACAAAATCAAGTCAAATCAGTTTTACGTCTACATATCCATATATAACAAATCAGAGATTGGCCTCAGGGAGATCCACTGTCTGTATACATTAGAAAACTAATTCCACTTTTCTCTCTGGAAAGAGAGATACAGTGTTTTTTATTTTATTTTACAAAGTGACTGTCTGACAGAAGTTTCGAAACTAGGAGGCTGTTTTCCCATTTTTTTCATTCTGTCCTGGCAGAGGTTTGGCAAAAACAATACCACCGATCAGACTGCAGTGTTGGCAGAGCATGTTGTGAAATGTTTACTAACTTGCTGTCAGTGGTTGACCACATTCGCCGCTAGGTGAATTAAAAAAAAACCCTGCAGATTTGAAGCATGCAGCACTCCCAGGATAAATGGAAAACAGAAGTTTCTCTGGGTTGGATATATGTGTATTCAAACCAAGGTTAAAGGTTAGCACCAGTCACCTGCCAAATACAGGTGTTTTCTTTTGTAGTGACGGGTGAATTTTCTCAACTTACCAGTCACAGTGGCTGGTAAATAACAGTAAGGTTAGAGTGATTTCAATAGAACAGCTTAATATGCTACATTAGCCTTTGAGGACATGTGATTCTTACCAGCCTCAAAATAATCAACTAAAATATATATTTTCTCTGATTATGAGCGAGACAAAGAGCATGTCAGTATGTTCAAGTTGAAACCTTATTCGCTTCATAAAACAGACGATTGCTTGAATACTGTAAGCCTTGATTTGATATTATACGTCATTACATTATGCTGCAGGTTAAAAAAAACAGTGGGAGGTAAAAAAAAAAAAAAAAGAGTGACCGGATCCAAGCCAGCCTTGATTGTGCAACTTTATCTCATATATTGTGACATTTAGTTGTGTTGTTATTCTGCAAAAAAACTCAGTTTTCCGTGACGTCATTCCTTTGATTAATCATGTTTCAGTTTGTAGATTAGGACGGATCGCCAACCCCGGCAGGAAAGGAGAACATAATGTAAAGCAATGAGGTTGTTATTCTGCTTAAATGGAAAGATAACCTAAATATAATAAATATGTAGAGTGCAAAGACCTCATTTGGTTGTTCTTTAGTCTGTTCCCAGTTGTAGCAGAAGTGATTAACAATACACAAAGTACTTATTACACTGGCGGGTTTATTGGCTGGATATTGTGTTCCAGCTCGTGCATTAGCTTTGTTTTTAGCCGAGGTTATATCTATGCTGCTCTTCAGCGTTCACTTGCCTTTGTTAGTCTTTCCCCGCCCTCAGGCTACAGTAGCTGCAGTCGATCACTTCTGCCAGGGAATCCCGGTGGTTGTGAGGAGGATGTTCGTAAAATAATCAAATGTTCACAAACAAAGCCCACGTGAGGCGGCATGCTGAATACGGGTTGAACCTGTGTGAAGAGCTGCTGCCATGTCGTTTTCAGACGAGAGCCCGGTGTGCACACATCACTGACGGACTGAAAGATAAACCTGAATACATCCAGTCCTGTTTGGTTAACAATACTGTGCGGCCCCTGATCTGTGTGAGGCCGTTTATTTAGAAAGCACAATTCAAACATGGAGAAACACACACTGTGCTTTTACATCTTAAAAAAACATAAATAACATGAACAGAATTTTAAGAAATACGACATCGAGCTAAAAGAAGACACTAAAACTCTGAGCATATTAAAACATCTTAAATGAGGCGATGACTCATCAGTAAGCTAGTGGGAGTGTAACAGTGTTATAGTGTTTTCAAAGTGATGTAGCTGTATCGACTGCAAATATTGATCATGGAGGAGTTTTGCAGACAGGTGTCGCTTGCTTTCTTGCTTTTTTTGGTTTGTCCCCTAGAAAAACGTATTGTTACTCAATTGCAATTAAAAAACTGGAACTCTGGATTCACAGTTCTGTGATGTAAACAGGAACAGAGACGGGAAAACGCCACGTCGACGTTCAGTCCGGGGATCTTCCTATCGACTCATTTCCATGTTAATTCAGACAGCTTGTCTAAAGTGAGGAAAACACTCAGAACACATTTTATTTACCCTGGATCAACACAGGATTACAGCGTTTTAGACAATGTTAAACTGGTCCAGCACCTCCAGCCATCGGTCCTTACACTCATGTCCACATGCTTGTACTGGTTACAAATCGCACCAGTGGTTACATGGAAATGCCAGTTTGACCTGACACAGCCTGCATATATAACTCTCCATTTTCTAGAGCAAAATCTGCCAAACTGGGGCACCAATGGCCTAGTGTTTATATTGCACAGCCCATGTATGGAGGCTAAACCTCTCCTTGCAGATGTCATGGGTTAGAATCCGACATCGGCCCTTTGCCGCATGTCATCCCCCCTCTCTTCCCTCCCAACATTTCCTGTCTCTCTTCAGCTGTCCTATCCAATAAAGGCTACTCGCCATCCGTCCACTGCGCTGGTTTACATCCAGGAAGTAGAGCATTATGGCAGTAGCCATTCAGCTGGAGCTACAGCCCCATCTAGTGGCGGGCCGCTGCATTACAGCTTATACACAACATTTGACCGTCATTGTTGGCCTGAATTAATGCAAATATTCATAATTAGTTTAGTTTACTAGCAGGGGTTGACTATGTTTCACCGTAAAGTCATCTGATCCCTCATTCAGACCAAAGTGATGTGGATTATACTGTAGGTTACTGTGTCAGTCTGAATTGGCTGTATGTCATGTTTGCATCAGAATATCAAGCACTACTCAATGCTCGTGACTCCTCAGGGTCGGCTTTACATCAAATAAAAAAGAGTTCATAAATTCAGCATGCTCCACTTCTGTGCGGTTGTAGCATTTATTTATAATAGTGAAACCTCTCAAAGCCCCTCTTCTTTTATCAGCGATGCCCTCTTTAGAGTAGCAAGGTGATCTGTTCAAATTGACTCTTAACATGTGATCCTGAAAGTGGTCCTTCTCTCTCTCTGCAGCTCTGGAGGCTTGTGCACATAGGGCTAAAGAGAATTCACTAGTCAAACCCTAATTTGTCATTTTCTGTTTTTTTTTCTTTCTTTTACTCCCACTACACAAACCGGACCAGATTGGGACTTTCCTTCACGGTTAATGAGGCGTGACTTTTCGCTGCTCATGTGGAACTGTGCTCAGCTTTCTGCAGCCCACAACTGCAGAGCAAGAGGAGGAATAACAAAATGTGCAGCTAGCTGTGGAAGAAAAAAAAAAAAGAAGACCTTACCTGACTCTATTGTGGGCAAAAAAACAAACACATTGGCGAGCTCCGAGCTCGAGCATTACCTTGTTAAACAACTCAAAGTAATGTGTGTGCCTTGTTCACGGGCTCCAGGGATTGGTTGAGCTTTGTTGCATGTAAATTACAATTCAGAAGCTGAAGGTTATACCGTAGGCTGTTTTACTCACAGTGAGTAGATCAAATGTACAATCCCTATTCCCGAAAAAAAAGTGAGACAATAAAACAAAATGTGATGATTTGCAAAACATTGAAACCACTTATTGAATTGAAAGTAGCAAAAAACTACAAATCAAATGCTGAAGGGGAGAAATGTCATGGATTTTGGGAAATGATGTGACAAATTTGAATTTGATGCCTGCAACACGTTGAGACAGAGTTATATTTACTGCTCTGTTGCATCATTTTTTTCTTTAAACAACACTTTTCAAATGTTCTGGGAGCTGAGGAGACTTAATTTGTGTAATTTTGAAAGTGGATTGTTCCACCGTTCCCGCTCGATGTAGGATATCAGCAGTTCAACAGTTCAGGGTCTTCCTTTGTCTAATTTAACCAAGCAGAGCAAGTTTCAGCTCTGGCACTACAGAGCCATGCTGCTGTTATTTGTCCAGAATGTGGTTTGGCATTGGAATCATTAATGCAGAGCAGTGTGAGGGTCTGAAGGCCTGCAGATCACGGCCACCCAATAATATTGGTTTTTTAGCCTTGTCTGCTGCATTTAGAGATTTTCTTTTCTTCTAGACCTGATTAAATGTGAGCTGTTCCATTAGGTGTGTTTTTTTTAAGCATTCCACCAAGTTTCCAGCCTCTTGTTCCTCCATCCCATCTTCTTTGAAACCTAATGAGCTGTGGATTAATTGGTAGAGTCTGTAGTCTCTGAACTGGAAGGTCGAGGGTTCGATCTCCAGCAGCAAGAAGATGCAAACAGGAACATATGGATTGAATACAGTTCCTTTAACTGGCATCAATTGATAATGTGTGTAATCATTGTCAATTTGGGGCGGCTGTGGCTCAGTTGGTGGAGTCAGTCGTCTCTCAACTGGAAGGTCGAGGGTTCGATCCCCAGCTCCTGCAGCCACATGTCCGATGTGTCCTTGGGCAAGACACTTAAGTTGTTCCCACTGCTTCATCTGCACTTATGAATGCGTATGAATGGGATTAGTTACTTCTGAGGGTCACTTCACACAGCAGCCTCTACCATCAGTGTGTGAATGTGCTCACCTGTGACCTGCGGTGGAAAACGCTTTGAGTAGTCAGAAGACTAGAGGAGCGCTCTAAAAGCTCAAGTCCATTTTCCATTGTGTGCATCAAATTCAAAGTGTGCATATCATTTCCCAAAAACAGTCACAGGTTAAAAATGTAACGTTTTGTCTTTGCACTATTTCCAATTCAATTTGAGTTTTCAGTGTTTTGCGAATCATCACATTTGGTATTTGTTTTAATTTTACCCAACGTCCCAACTCTTTGTGTATCAGGGGTTGTACAGTGATGTTTTAATATCGTCTTTCTACATGTGTTTTTCTTTCAGGTTAACAAAGCACAGCTGCAAATGTTCCATCGCGCTGAAAGAAACAGTTCTCCCCCCCGAGGTCGTGCAGCATGTTTTTTTTTAGAATCCTTCAGCTACAGTTTGTTGAAGCAGTTATTAAATACAATTGGGTTTTCTAAACAGCACAAAGCTCCTTTTTCCTAATCATGCACAGTGTCCTTTTTTTTTTTTTTTCCAGCTCAAACATCAGGGTTGACATTGTCTGCATTTGAGTCACAGTCAGCGCTGCTCAATCCATATGGTCTGCATTCAATACGCCAATCATGGATTAGGACTTGGACAGAGGCACTTCCGCAAAAAGTCCCTGTGGGTCAAATATCTGTGATGAGACATTCTTCCTATAATTCCTCCGGGCAAGGTCGTCCAAATACAATCAGCATATATAGTGTAAGAAGCTTTGACGTGTGCACACTGCCATAGTATTGCTGTAGTATACAAAATAACAGATCTGGACGTTTTGAAAAGTCTTCGTCTCAGGTGGCCTGTGTTGTCTTTGAGCTGTTTGAATCGCTGCAGAGTGTGTGTCTTATTGGAGAGGGAGTGTTCAGGGCCGCATCCTTCATCTCCTCCCATAGTATTCAGCAAGCCTCAGAGCAGCGTCGTCTCATTCTCGCTGCATGAAGAGACAGCACCCGTGTGATTGGATGCAGTTTTGACATTGAGGCTGGCTAATTTTCTGTTTTGTGAGTCTTTGTGTGGGAGGGATCACGTTTCTTTGTTTGAATGTGTGTGTGTGTGTGTGTGTGTGTGTGTGCCATTCTCCTGTTAATTACTGGTGACTATTTGTGACCTCCATTAACATCCTTAGCGTCACTTAGCTCGCTGCCGGTTAAGCCAGTAATTCCAGCAGGAAAAACTAAATGACTTTGCATAAGCAGCCATGTTTTTTGTTTTTTTTCCTTCTCCCTTCTTTACCTGTGTGTGCGCGCGTGTGTGTGTGTGTGTGTGTGTGTGTGTAAGCCACACTGTGTGATCATTAGAAATGCAAATGAGTGACTCCCTCGCCCCCTAAACTCATTGTCTGTCAGACATTAGGTAATTGTCTCTCGCTGCAAACCCCTCCATTATAAAAAAAAGGGAAAAAAAAGTCTGTTAGCTCTCCCATTCAGTGATTTAAGAGTGACTCTTTAGATTAGAACATCCCCATGAAGGACCACGTCTAATTCTTCGGTCGCCTTCTTTTCTTAAGCACCCCCTCTCTCTTCTTCACGTCCTACTGCCTAAATTGTTAATGCAGCTTTAGCTTTGATTACCCGCTCTTATGTCTCCACTGCTCTTCCTTTCTGCTGCTCAGTTTTTTTTTTTAGTTTTTACACGTTTAGAGGACTCTTTTCTAAGTATTTTATCATCCTCTGCCTCCCTCACTGGTTACTAAGCGAGGGAAATAAAACCCATTCACTCAGTTCCAGAGAAATTATAACCGCTGCTGGGAACTGATGTAATACTTTTTTTTTTTTTTTTTAGATTTATTTTTGACCTTTTAATGCCTTTATTGGAGAGACAGGACAGTGGATAGAGTCGGAAATAGGGTAGAGAGAGAGAGAGAGAGAGAGAGAGAGAGAGAGAGAGAGAGAGAGAGAGAGAGAGAGGGGAATGGCATGCAGGAAAGGAAACACAGGTCGGATTTGAACCTGGTCACCCGCTTTGAGGACTACAGCCTCTGTACATGGGGCACACGCCCTAACCACTCAGCCATCGGCACCCGATTAAACAATTTACTTGATATTTGACAATAATTATTCCTAACTACGAGCTAACTTAAGTGTGCTAACATTAGCATGCTAACACAACAATGCAGGACACAGGCAATCGTCTCGAGCAAAGGACAATACAATACCGCCGCTTGCACCAAACTCCTTTATGCAATGTGAGAGAAGGGGGGGGGTGGAGGTGTGTCGCTGGAGGTGAGTGGAGGCCTTGCCAGTTTATTTTGGTTTCATGCTGGTGCTCAATGGCAACATCTACTGGATGAAACAGTCGCACGCTCTTCCTTTAACGTCTTCATTTCCCCTTCATGTAAATCTCTTTGAATGCCCTTCATGTTCCTAATGTTGTGATTTTAAAGTCTGTACAGCACCTTGATTGCTCCATGTATAAATACACTCGCCTCTCTTTAGATTCAGCTCTCAAAACGTGTCTCTCAAAAACCGTATATTTAGAATCTAAAGTGATGCGACTCTCGGTTTTTCCTGTGCTTTTTAAAATGTGTCACACTTTATGTGTGCTTTGTCTCTTTCAGGAAAAAAAAAAAAGAAGCTGCTGAGTCATTTTTGCAGCAGTTTCACTTATAATTGCTCATCCTTAGCATTGGCGAAAAAAAATCGTTTTGTATTTTCAAGTGATTCCAAGTAGTTCAACCTCCTATGTTCCTCCAGCCCCCTTTCCTTCTCTCTCTCTCTCTCAGCCAGGTTTTAAAGGGCTCTGTTCCTTTGGTAGATGCTGCGGCAGCCACTTGTTAATACTTGTTATCTCTGAAGATAAATGTCGTTATTAAGAAGGTGCTAATATATCGCTATCCATAAATAATGTTGAGTTCTGTCAGCTCAAGTTGCCGTCATGATCAGTCCTAATTGTCAGGACCATCTGTTTCTATCTTTTTATGTCTTTTCAGCTAATGGCAGCACATTCTGTAATTCCTCATATTTTCTCCCCCCATGTGAATATGACAAACGACTACTTTCTGAGTCCGACTCATTCCCCTATCGCCTGCAGTGTTGGTGTCTTTTTTCCCACTCACTAACTCAGCAGTGCAAGTGTCCACCAGATTAAATATTTCCTCAGTGTCTGTCGTGTGTTACTGTATTTAAAAAAAAATAAAAAAAATCCTCTTCATCTTCTCTTCCCCTCAACAGATTGCCTGTGCCGTCTTTGCGGCCTTGCTCCATTTCTTCTTCTTGGCAGCGTTCACCTGGATGTTCCTGGAAGGCGTGCAGCTCTACATCATGCTGGTGGAGGTGTTTGAGAGCGAACACTCCAGGACTAAGTACTTCTACCTGGCGGGATACGGAGTGCCGGCTGTCATAGTGGCCGTCTCCGCCGCAGTGGACTACAGGAGCTACGGCACCGACCGAGTGTAAGGACGTATGGGTGGCAGAGAGAGAGAGAGAGAGAGAGTGTTGTGGATGATGGGGCGAGGGAGGAAGGGGAGAGAGAGGCTTCGAGTGCCTGCTGTCATTTTGGCTGCGTCTGCCGCGGCGGACTCTACAAGCTGTGGCACTTCTGAAGCATCAATACAGAGAGGTTGAGAGGGGAGAGAGAGAGGCAGCGAAGAATTGAGAAGTAGGGGGACAAGCAGGGGGAGGACACACCACTGAGTGCCTGCGTGAGCACAGCGGCAACAATGTGTGAATATGGAAGGATTTAACTGGCAGGGTAGACGGGAAGGCGGTGCAGAGGGCAGCAGACTGAGCGAGGAGAGGAGTGATTTAAGTACGAGAACGAAGGGATGGAGGAATGGAGTGATGGAGTAGTCGGTCCATACTGGCTTCCCTGGAGGGAGAGCAGAGTAGTGCGTTGGAATGAGGGCATACATTAAGATCGTAACATATGCATGCGAGCTTGACGCGTGCAACTGGGGGGACAACGGGGTGAAACCAAGAAAAGGCAGCGGGTACCTCATTCATATGAAATACATGCATAATAATCCACCTAAAAAATGTACTGGAGTGAACTTAATAACAGTTCCACATGGGTGACTTGTCCACTCTAGTACATTTCTGCACCCTGAAAAGAAGCCAACTTTTTATTCATACAGTGCATATGCATATAATGTGCATAATGTTCACATAATGTCTGCGGTCGCTGCGCATGTCCGTGACCTGTCCTCTGCCTTGTGTTCATTGTATGAAATCACAATGACTACAGAGGACTCGAAACAATACGCAGCGTGTGGAAAAATCTTCACTTTCTTATAAAATGAGCGGCTCCATATAGGGAATGCAAAAATGACGGGGGACACTATAGGGCTGCTAAATGATTCACAGGCTCAAGAGGTCATGTTGTTTAGCAACGTTTAATTGTCAGTTCACACCAGTCCTTATGCTGCTAAGATCAATATTTCATTGTGGGATTATCATTAAAACATGAGATAGTGAATGCCAAGCTCTGGATAAACGATCACATTGCGCAACATTAGCTTGCAGCCTTCTCGAGACAAAAGCCTTTGTTTCACAGGAAGAAAAGCAAAATGAAGTGATATGTTTTCGGAGTTTGGATGTTTCTAGGTGACTCATTTCACGGTTTTAAGTGAATTAGACACAAATTTAAGGGGCGCTAGATGGCCTAGCAGGCTGCACGGGGGCGGCAGTGGTTAGCGCCTGCATGTTCTCCCTTTGCATGCGGGGGGTTCTCTCTGAGTACTCCGGCTTCCTCCCACAGTCCAAAGACATGCCTGTTAGGTTAATTGGTGACTCTTAAATTGCCCGTAGGTGTGAATGTGAGCGTGGCTCGTTGTCCGTCTCTATATGTCAGTCCTGTGATTGACAGGTGAACGGTCCATGGTGAACCCCCGCCTCAGCTGGGATCAGCTTCAGTCCCCCGCGACCCCGAACGGGAAAAAGCCGTATAGAAAGTGGTGTAGAGAATGGATGGATGGATAGATGGCCTAGCGGTAGGTCACACCCCATGTATGGAAACTATAGTCCCTCTAGCAGGTGGTCCAAGTGCGATGTAGTATTGCAGTAGGTGGCGCCATGGCTTCACTTGAATCCAGTAATGGTAATGTGTTGAGAGGCGGGCCGTGATCATACAAAGCATACGAGAGTTGCGGCCACTTCCTGTTTGATGGCGAGACAGCCGTCGCCATGGTCACGGCATTTGACACAGATGTTTGAGATTGAAAAGATAGGATGGCAAAGGTCTTATGGGGAATATGAGCGACCGTGTAGGAAGGGCTAGTGGTAATTCAGAAGCAGTACCTTCCAGTTGTCAACAGGTGGCGCTGTGACTGTAAGGTAAACGATGTCTTCATTTCAGTAGGGTCGTCGCTCTGATGTCGGTGCAAAAGCTCTCATTAAAAGTTTAACTGACCACTAATTCCAGAACGAACTACCGATTATAACGACGTTCAATCATTTAGTCGGCTAATTGCAAACCTCCCAAATAGTAACAAAGAGCTCGTCACACAATCGATGCTAAAACAAACTGATTTCATTAAAAGTGTGATTCTCTGATCTTCAAAAAAAAAATCAGTATTTCACCGCAAAGTTCCTCTCTTCAAAAAAAAAAAAAGCTGAAACTTAAGTTCCTGTGACTCATTTATCAGTCCAGCCTTGAAAATGGGGCCACTTATCACGTTTTGACATAACACATTGAGACAAAAACCTCTGGAAATATCATCTGCCATCCCTGCTGTGTCACCTTGTCACCAATTCTCCCACACTCGCTCGCCACTGGCTCCGAGTCCCATTCACCTCCTATAATGAAGGTTGCAATGACTTAGCAAAGGAGCCCTAATGGAGGATACGGTGACACGGGCCGGGACCCATAATGGAGGGCTCTCTAATGTGGTGGAAATTGAAAGATTAATAATTCAAAAGCAGCTGGTCATGAATCAGTCGGCCATTTTGCTCCAGAGCTTTTTCTCTGACACTCCCCCCTCCCCCTGCAACCCGTTGGGTCTGACCTCAGTGGAGGGCACTCGGGGACGTCTTTATTCCTTTCCACCCAGCATGCTGTAATTGATGAGTGAAGACGTTTCGGGTGATATAATTTAGCATACAGCCGTATATCTTTTACTACCAATGCTAAGGTTGCGGTCAGAAATGAATGTGTGTGGGTGTTTGTGTGTGTGTGCGCGGGGAATATGTGTGTTCATGCATGTCGTCTAACTCTGAATGTGAAGGTGCATGTTTGTGTGTGTGTTTGAGTGTGTGTGTGTGTCCCTCCTCTCCCCTTTAACCTCCGCACAGCCGTTCCCAGACTCCATAAATAGCCCGGTATGAGGGCTGCATCCATAACTCAGTATTCAAATGAACACAGTCATGTCATATTTTTGCCAGCGCAGGATGTGGCCATGTCATATATCTGAGCCCTAAGGGGGGGGGGGGGGAGGAAAGGTTTATTTATCACGGGTGCTCATCCCTGGCTGTCTGCCGCTCTTGTTTTGATGTATGTTTGAGGTGGAGTGCGTAGAGTCTATTTCCTTCATCCTGCAACACCTTCCTCACTGTTCTTCATCTCTTTCACTTTCTCAACCCCCCTTTTGTCCTCCCTTTATCCCTCTATGCATTTGATATACTGTATGTCATGGAATGTACTGCTCTCTCCCCTCCTCCTCACCCCTTTTGTATGTGTGTGTGTAACTATGATGCATGTCCTGTCCTCTCATGGTAAATCCTTGCTACCCTACATCCATCTGAGACTGGAGCACATATTAATCCCTATGCATCTTTTCCTCTCCTGTCGTCCCCCCCCCGTTTGTCATGCATGATGTCTCTGTCTCTCCCTCTCTCTCTCTCTTTTGGAATCTCCCCTTCTCACTCACTCACTCTCTCTCTCTCTCTCTCCTCCATCTTTGTCTCTCTATTTCTGTCTCTCTAGGTGCTGGCTGCGTTTGGACACCTACTTCATCTGGAGCTTTATAGGCCCGGCAACGCTCATCATTATGGTGAGATACACAAACATGCATCCTCACACACACACACACACACACACACACACACACACACACACACACACACACACACACGGAACAGACTCTAGTAGCTTTTAGCTCTTCAGAGCTCCAATCATGTTTTTTAACAAAGGACTGCTGTGATAGAAAGAGAGATATGATGCCACTTCTTTGTGATATTCAGATCATCTATTTGGTAATGAAGGGGGGCCCGTAGCCTAGTGGTTAGTGTGCGTGCCCCATGTACAGAGGCTGTGTTCCTCTCTCTCTCTCTCTCTCTCTCCATATGTATGACTCTATCCACTGTCCTGTCTAAATGAAGGCATAAAAAAGACCCAAAATGATTTATTGATCATAAACATCAAGAAACTACAGATTCAGATGAATGGATGGATGGATACTGTAAGATTTATTTTTGTGCTTTTTGTGCCTTTAATGGAGAGATAAGACAGTGGATAGAGTTGGAAATCAGGGAGAGAGAGAGAGAGAGAGAGTGGGGAATGACATGCGGGAAAGGAGCCACAGGTGGGATTTGGGGCGCTCGCACTAACCACTGCACCACTGCACCACCAGTGACCCCATGGATACTGTTTTGAAATTGAAATTGAAGCATCCAGTAGTAGCAGCTTTCAAGACACATGACATGAAACATGTGTTACATCTAACAACACCCCCCCCCCACCTCCATGTGTATGTTAATCCAGACAGAAGTCTAAATAAAAACCGACAGCGATCAAAAGAAAACGATAATCAAACCCTGTCGTATTAAAATGAGACCTGTACAAAAGTATTAAATCAAATGAACGACACATACATTATGTAAATAAGACGTGTTTATACCATGTACATAACAGATTAAATAAGACAAGCAGCATTTATATGGTAAAGTAGAGTCGTGTCTGTGTGGAGGTAGTGAAATGAGTCCATGCATTCTTTAAAAGTGCTTTTGTGCTCATGTAATATTCACTAAAATAACACTGAAGTGTCTAAAAACACAAAGCTGCCTCTTTGACTGAAATGTTTTCAGGACTGGGTTTTTGACGCTCGGGTTTTGAAGCAGGTGTCAATATCGTTTGATTTTTAGTTAAACATTTTTGGTATGGAGACAACTCATGCTGATACCTCCGGTTTGCCTTTAAGGTGTTTGTTAATCTCCTTCAAGGTTTGCCCCTGATCTCCTCAGCAGTCAAGGAGGATCTGAGGACGACAAAGTCATAATTCCCGCTCGTGGATTAACTCCATAGGTGGCAACATATTCCAAAAAAAGCTAGAAATCCTTGGAAGGTCACAGAGGACAAACGGCAGATAATGATAAGAAACCCGACTAAGATGTGTAGCTCTGAGGCACCTTTTGATGATCCAGACAGAGTACCCCCCCCCCCCACCCCCCCCCACACACACACCCCCCAGCCTTCTGAATTTAGACTAATTACACAGTAAAAAAAGGGAAAACACCGTCAGTGAACTCAGCCAGTGTCAATGACTGAACTAATGCTCCACCAGTCTGCACACTGTTCTGAAGAGCAGTCACAGTCAGCATACCTTGAACGAGTAAACAGAGACAGAAATAGAGCTAGACGAATAGACAGGCACTCAGACAGAACAAGAAAAAATATATATAAAAAGGTAGTGTTTGGGGAGAAAAAAAAAAAAAGAGAGATGTTCCCAATTAGGTGAATGTCGGCGTGCACGCACTCAAGCTCTGTACTCATTTAGGAAATGTCAGGCAGGCTATCAGTGATCTAACCGAGGCTGTAAGTGGCAGTGGTGCAGGTGGGACTGCTCTGTTATGACTCTCAGCCCATTGGTAACATATACCGGCTCAGAGACCCCGCACAACCAGCCCAGACAGTCATTATTACACCGCCCAGTCTGTGCATTAGCAGGCCAATAGAAAAGACGGCATCAGTGAGAATTGGATTTCTTTTGTAGCATCCTCACTGGATATAATGACTGCTGTATTTTCCCTCATGCTCGAGCGTCTGTTTTTTAGTTTTTTTTAGAGCGCATAAAGAGATGTTGATTGTGGGCTGAAAGTGTGTCCCCCAAGCCAATTACCGCTGGAAGGAAAAAAAAAAATCAAATGATATGCATGGTTTATGACTGAGTTGTTGTGGTGACGTTGTGTCTTTAATTAGGCATATTGTTGCAGGATATCAACTTGTTTTCTTGTGGTTTTTTTTCCCTGTGTTGTTTCTTTTTTCCAGCTGAATGTCATCTTCCTCGGCATCGCTCTTTATAAGATGTTCCATCACACGGCCATCCTCAAACCAGACTCTGGGTGTCTGGACAACATCAAGTAAGTGCATGCATGCGTGCGGTCGCTGCCGTCATACCAGCGCGCCTGGTTTTTGGGGATGTGGGTGTGACTTTTTTATGCTTGGATTAAGTTAAGGGAATGATTCAGCCCGTTGGGAAATGCATTTATTACCTTCTTGCAGAGAGTTAAATCAGAAGATTGATAGCACTCTCATGTCTGCCCGGTCAATATGGCAGCTGAAGCCAGCAGGCTGTCAGTTTAGCTTTGCATTAAGACAGGAACATACAGAGTGTATAGAAGAAGTGGATGAAACGTCTGGTTCTAAAGAAGTAGAGCCCATTCTCAAGTGGGTTACATCTGAATTCTTTCTAATGCTGCCTCCACTGTTTGCAGGATAAATCAGACATGGGGAATATACTTCATACTTGATTTATTACCGCAGAAACATCATAGAAATGGGCTAAAGGTTTTGATTCCTAGTTGTACGTGTTCGTTAATGGTTTCAAAAAGCCAACATGGCCACCGCCAAATTCAGAGCTTCAAAAGGAGGAGTGTCACAGTGGCTCCGCCCACTGCTTTCTATGGACTTTACTCAAGGGGAAAGCCAAGGAGCTTGTCTTGAACTGAAGGTTAAAAAATATTTCTCCCTCCAGCGCTTCATTAAGAGCTCTGCTGGATATCGTGTTTGTTTGATTCCAAAGAGGAATAACCAGAGAGGGGGAAAACACAGTATGTGGCAGGGCTTAAGAAGTCGGGAACTAGTTCCGCATCACGCAGCAACCTCTGGTCTTCTCCCAAATACTAAAGCGCAAAAAAAAAACTGCATTTCCTCAAGAATCCACTTGAGACAGGCTGTAAAAATCCCCAGAAGACCCAACAACACACATGTTAAAATGATTCTTACAGCAGAAATAAACATGTTTACAGCCTGATTCGGAAAACAGCTTTTTTCTTCATTGCTACTCACTGTGCAGTTAGTAGCACATAACTCGTCTGTTTTGATCATATTGATTACAGAGTTTTGTATAATTAGCGGCATGGCTGATCTGACTGACAGACCGACTGTGTTAGCTGTTTAGCAGGAGGCTAAAGTCCCGCCTCAGCTCCACCTCTGGTGTGCTTTGGCATGGTACGAGCACAAGCACGGGTACTCGATGTGGACGGACTTCATCATCGAGAAAGCCTGGAGTGTTCTGTCTGTATCTGACTCAAAGTGTACTTTTTTGTTTGGGAGGCCGCCTGTGTTGTAAACTAAGCACGCTTCATGATCACCTAAAGCCATGCGTGTGTTTCTAATACGACGTTATGTAAAAGAGGTAACGGTGCTCAGGCCCAGGTTAGTCCTGGAGCAGTGTGAGTGCAGGCTAGCGGGGAATAGGAAGGGGGGAATCGGTACAGGATAACTTTTCATAGTGTATGTTAGTTTGAGACATAATTTCCCATATGGACATTTCCACTGAGACTACCGGCTGTGTCCGGCACACAACCCTCTGCAAAACAGGAAACTCATTTTGTCCTCACAAAGAGAAAACAAGACGTGAGCTGTTACATTTTTCTTTACCTTTCACCACAGCCTGGCTTCCTGCCTTCACACTTCCCTAAGCTGCTGACTTCAGCTTCACATTTACCTCACAGACCGGACAGTGGCGTCTATCTCTTTAACGTGTAACCATGTCCATCAGCGTTTGACTGTATGTTAGCATGTCACACGCAGCACAGTTCAACGCAATCATTGAATCCATCCTGTTGTCTTACCATTATAACTATTGTTTATATCACTATTAGTGAGTGTCACTGAACTATGACGTCATTCCCACTCAGCGCTGAAACTCTGTGTGCTAAGATAACCAATCAGGGTTGTGTTATTTGTCCTTCCAGTGCAGCTCGGGTCAAAAAGGCTCGGTTTAATTTGAACAATATGCCAAGTCTCAGAGCTCAGAGCCGCCGGGAACTTCTAATGTAAAGCACAAAGCGCCTTACTCATTTGATTTATATTCCTGCCGATGTTTCTTTAACGACAGCAGTGAATGAGACTTGGACTCCACGAGGGAAGATTTGAAGAAACAAAGACAAACCAGATGATCTTTAGTGCAGTTGAGGAAAATGTGATGAAAAAAAAACCCCAATGAAATCTGACAATTAAAGAATGACTTCCAATTTGATGCTTTTTTTTATTTTTTTCCTCCCCTTTTTGGAATGTCTTTCCTGAGCACACTGAAGGCTGAATAGATTTTAATCTCTCTCACTTCATTAGTCGTGTCTTATAGTGGTTCATTTACTTGTTAATCATCATCATGCCCTTTTCCTTCTTAATTTTTCCCCCTCCTTTTGTTTTCTTTGTCTCTTTAACTCCCAGCCATCATAAGTTGTCTTTGTTGTGGATTGGGCTCTGGTAAGGCCACTCTCCAATCAAAAGGCTTTTTTCGTCTTTCCCCCGGAGACATTTTGATTGGCTTGCTTGTCGTTTTGATTTGGTCTGTAGAAGCCGCCCTAGACTCCGTGCATATCCCTGAATTAACCATTAACCCGCCTTGTTGGAGTTGAATGACTTGTTGACGTGTGATTTGTGAGCTCCTGTGACCTATAGACTTTATGTGCTCTTGAAATATTCTAATGGTGCGATGTGAATGAGGGCAAACAGAGCTGAGAGAAAAAGCCATGACTCAGGGGAGCACTGCAGGGAAGAGGTGAGATGAAGGGATGGAGAGGAGAGGAGAGGGGTGAGCGTACCCTTTTATTGAAGAGGGTCGTCAGACGAGCTTTATTGGAGGTTCTGTCTCGCCTGAACGGTGCCACAGAGGGCAACATCGAATCAATCACCTCAGTCTCACTCACTTACTCCCCTCCTCTCTTTTCTCCCCTCTCTTCCTCTTCCTCCTGACTCTCCTAATATCCCCCCCTCTGTGTTCTTTATCTCTACATCCCCCGTCTTTCTCACCTTACCCTTCCTTTTCTTTTTCTTTCTTTTTTGGTTCCCCATCCTCAGTACGAGAGGTGATCACCGCCCGGTCAGCCAATCAAATTAACAGGCATCTTCGCAGGCTGTGGAAGACCTGAAACTCTGACCTTTAGTGGGAAATGTCATTTATAATAGCTGTAATGTCCGTCTACTTACTGCCCGGCGAAGCCACTTGCATGGCCGCACACACACACACACACACACACACTCACGCACACACACACAGGGGACACATTACAATGCATACACATGCTTTGGACACCATCAAATCCCTCGGACATTTGGCCTTTATGACTCACTCCTGCATAGGATTTATTTAGAAACGGAGGTTCACAGCCTTCAAAACTTTGACTTAACTTTAGTTTCATTAAGTTCTTATTACCACAGTCGCGCCTCAGCGTCCACTTCTTCCTGTGGAAACGTCTTCCAACCCTCCTCTGCCTGTACGCTTGTGAACAGGCGCTGTGAGATGGGGTTTGGATGGAACTTTGGAAAAGTCTTGTCCGCTGGACTTTCTTGAAATTAGAAGGCTGACGTCAGCTAACTTATGACCTCCCACGCGCCCCCCTCCCCCCTCCCCTCTTTTTGAGATTGTATCTAAATGAGCAATCCACTTTCATTCTGGTCTCTCCCCCTTTTTCTGTAAGAGTATAATTCTCTTAGGCTAAACCTCCCACTGTTTTCTCCATCTCACACCCACAGCGCTGGGACTTGGAATGAACCCTCTCTAACCCCTCTTTCTCCCGCCTCTTGCTCCCAGATGCCGCAAACTTCGTCTGAATAGCTTTTTCTGATTAAGGGAGATGTTATCCCCCGCCGTGCAATGAGACCTTTAAAAATACACTCTGCATTTAATGTGACATATCAGATGTGAGTGTTAAGTTGTTTGCAGGATGTGCATTTATTGATTTCTCCCTCTGCAGGTCTTGGGTGATCGGTGCCATAGCCCTGCTGTGTCTGCTTGGTCTGACCTGGGCGTTCGGGCTGATGTACATCAACGAGAGCACCGTCATCATGGCCTACCTCTTCACCATCTTCAACTCTCTGCAGGGCATGTTCATCTTCATCTTCCACTGCATACTGCAGAAGAAGGTGAGGGAGACAAACGGAGACAAAGCTGAGCAGAAAGGGACAAGACAGTGTGACAGGCGGACAATGATTACAAACACACAGGGACAGGGACACACACACACACACTAACACACACACTAACACACATGCTAGCACTGATCAGCAGGGACACCAGAAATCGCTGCAGAGCTGTCACAGGTTTGATCGGTCAGTCAGTAACCCCTGCCGGCTGCTCATTTCTCTCACTCTTTCCCTCTCACTACCTCGCTGTCTCTCTCGTTCACTGCGTGTTTTCGCCTCGTGGCAGCAGGTAACAAACCGAGCTGCCAGTCTTAACAGTGTTTCTGTTTCGAGAACAGCAAAGGAAAGGTTTTCATCATTAGGTGTGGTCCTCAAGCTCTGAAATACCTCACTGAAAACTATTGAGCTCTAATTGATTTAAATGTTGGACACACAGAAAATACATCGTGTTGATTTTGTCTTTTGAAAGTAGTGGTATCTTCTCGGGAGCGCTGATAGCCTAGGGCAGTGGTTCTCGACTGTTCTAGCCTCAGGACCCACCACCACCTCCTTAAATGAAGATCGTGCCCCACATTTCTGAAACGTTTTAACCCCTCAGATTTATTTTTGAAAAGTAGCGCAGTTTCGGCCGACCTCAGTCCAAACAAAATGTGATAAATACACATTTATACATATTTTCCAAGGCACATGTTTGCGACCCAAATAAAAATGGCTCTGCGACCCACCAGTTGAGAACCACTGGCCTAGTGGTTATGTGGCTCGCCCCGTGTACTCTACAAAGTCTTTAGTCCTCGTTGCAGCGACTTAGATTAGATTCCGACCTCGACCCTTTGCTGCATATCCCTTACTCGCTCATCCCAACATGTCCTGTCTCTCTTCAGCTGTCTTATCCAGTGAAGGCCAAAAGAAAAAAAAAAAACTTTTTCCTGATAAATACACATAAAAAAAAGAAAAAACTTTTTCCTGATAGTGGTATCTTCTTATATTTGGGGTCTCGACTTTTAAATGCCAATATAAATGTTCAGGGCCGAGCTTCAAGCAAGTGAGCCGCTCCTGACTGAAGCCAGCTGTCACTCACAGCTACAGTGAGACACGCTGATCATCTGGGACTAAGTGGCTCAGAAGTAGTTCATGGTAACTGATGACTGAGGCGATATTATGCCAACTTTTAGATAGTGATTATCAATGCAGCAGAGTCCTGAAGCAGCTGTCAGGCAGCCAAGAAACAAGGTGTTACAGAGTCCAAAAATGATGTTAACTTGAAAATGTCTAAAGCTGTGTTCACACTGCAGGTAAAAGTGACCTGAATCACATTTGTGTGTTCTGATGTGACTCAGATCTGATTTTCTTTATGACAGCGTGAACAGTGTGAACAGCTCAAGTCACATGCAATCTGACTTGGGCCTCTTTCATAAATATGGATTCTCACATGAGTCTGATACAGGCCACATTTAAAAAAGTAATGTGAACAGCCAAACAAAGAAAACAACTCTGAGCAAAAACGAATCTGAATCGAGCATCAAGGCATGCAGTGTTTGTCAGAGAAATCCTCAAAAGATTGACGGTAGAGCATTATGTGTCTGAAAAACAGCATGAAGGTACGCCGCACCTGCACCCTGGATCCTAAGAGCAATGCTGACCAGAGGACGGGAAAAAATGAATTTAGATTCTTATCTTATGTCCTTTTTGGGGGGGCTTATCAGTCACTCCCTGCTAAGTGCTAATGCTAGCTCTTTAACTCAGTTGAATGGCAAATAGAGCAGCAAGAAGTTCAGCCAGTCTCACAGATGACTGGAGTAGATCCTGAAGTATGGACTCATTCATAAATAGACTTTGAATCATAAATGCAGAATCGTTATAAATCGAAAATCGTGACCCCAAGAATCAAAATCCAATCGAATCATGAGACACCCAAAGATTCCCCGCCCTGTTTCTGACCAAACACACCTGTATTTCTTTTCATATATCTGTGAGTGTACAGTAGAAAGGTGAGAAATCAGTCACGGTGGCGTCCACTGGAAACGATTGAAAGATGAATTAATTACATTTAAATGGGATGATTCAATCTGAAGATATTGAAAACATTTCATTTAAACACAACAAGGACACAACACATAAAAAGAAAACAGGTTTTTATTTCATGTGTTTGCCTCATCATTATTTTCAAATAGAATTTATTTTCTCGGTTAAATACGATTTGGTCTCCACAAATTATTTTTAGTAAAATGAGTTTTGAATGAGGGGGATCATCTTCTATTCAAAGCCATCCTGTATTTATATCTCTTAAGCGGTGACTGTCCTCTAATGGCATCAATCTTACACTAAAACCCAGCCCCCCCCCTCCCCCCCACCTCCCTGAAAGTGCCCTGTCGCTCTATACAGATGACCTTCTATAAATACACGTTTGTTTTTTGTGTTTGTTTTGCATTTAGGATTAGAGGCATTTGGGAGCGCATATGTATCACTTTGTACTTTAGAATTATAAGTGGTTTCTAGGAGAAGCCTACACATCCTTGGATATATTTTTCTTTACAGAGTCTCCCACACACTGTCAGTGCCTGGGAGTGCAGCAGAGGGGGTTTGGATATGGGAAGAAAATTCATCAAATGCTTAATACTCTTGTCTGGCAGCAGTCCCGCAGAGAGTTTTTAGTTTTAAGTGTGTGACCCCGTAAACAAGTGGAGTGCTTGTGTGTGTGTGTGTGTGTGTGTGTGTGTGCTGTTATACTTAAGGTATGTGTGAGGCCATGGGATCAGGTATCCTGAGAGATGTCCTCAGAACAGTGCTGAGGTTTTCTTTGGCTGCGGCCCAACTCGGTTTCTCCCAAGATGCATTGGAGCGACTCTGCACACAGCTGTTCAAACAGAGCATGTGGCAGAACACGCCTGCCAGTCCAACAAGCTTGTTAAAAAGCAATTACAGCGCTATTTGTTCTAACTTGATTGGGATCTACATGCAGATGTTCTGTGTGTACAAGTGCATCATATGCCCCCCCCCTCCCCTCCCCCCTCCCCCTCCCCCCTGTAGGATTATGTCCATTTCAGATGGATGTAACGGTAGAAATAACATTTGGGGGTGTATGTTGACGGGGGAATTCTGATGGAGTTAATCCTTTCATGTCTACATATTTATGGAGATGGTGTTTGGACAAGGAGTTAACGCAAGAGGAGAACTTAGCGGGAACACTGAATCAACTGATCCCCTCCCCTGTCTGTTTCTCTCTGGGTGTGTCATCTTCGAAGTACGCCAACGTTTTCTGCAAATTAAAAGTGGATCGTCATTCCTCTGCCTTTACTAAATGTCCTCTTTATGTATTGTGTATTAACAAGTACAGGCCAGTCAGAGAAGGGATCCACTGCCCTTTAAAAAAAACACACCTTTCATGAATCTCTGACAATAAACAAAAACTGCACTGTGAGAGCAGAATCTGTAATGTGATGAAAAGTAAGTTTAAATTATCAGCGAATCAGGATGCCTGTGTGTAACTCCGCCTCCTCTTCCCGACTCCCCCCCCCCCCCGCGTGTGTGCAGGTGCGCAAAGAGTACGGCAAATGTCTGCGCACCCACTGCTGCAGCGGCAAGAGCGTCGAGACGTCCATCTCCTCGTCCAGCAAGACGACCACGTCGCGGATCCCGGGCCGCTACTCCACAGGCTCTCAGGTGAGCTTACCTGCCTGCACACCCGGACGCTACAGCACAGCAGACTCTCAGGTGAGGCCGGAGCACGCCATGAAGGGTTTCTGGGTTATCTGTTGACACATGATGAAGTCAATGTGTGTGCCGAAAGTGAGATAACCCAAACCCTTCGTCACATTATGATGCTGACTCACAGGCTGATGGAGTATACAAAAGCATTGACGGGTGATTATTTCCCCTCCACCTGTTCCTCTCCTGCTGGCTGTTGCTTTACTTTTCATTTTTAAAACCTCTCCTGCACTAATTTCCCTCCTTTTGCACATCATTGCCCCGTTTATTACATTTTCTCACCTTTTTTTCTTCCCCCTCTGTTGTCGTCGTGTCTTCTCCTCCCCTGACTCCTCCCTTCACCTTCTTTGTGATTTTTATTTAACCCCACCTCCCCTCCCACCTCTTCATATTTTCCTTTTCTTTACCCCTTCCTTATCCACCGTCCTCCTTCCTCCCCCCTCCCTCTCTCTCTTCTGCTTTCTTTCCTCCTGTGTGTAGAGTCGAATCAGGCGGATGTGGAACGACACTGTGAGGAAACAGGAGTCTTCCTTCATCACTGGAGACATCAACAGCTCCGCCACGCTCAACAGAGGTAACCACGGGATACCTTACCGTTTGCATCCTCATCACTGTCACCATATCAACTTCTGAAATAGCAGGGGGCTCAGACAGCACCACGCTGTCATTTAGCAAAGTGGTAGGAGTCTAAACTTTGGATAATGGTGCTGTGTTTTTTGAAGGGAGGAAGAGAAGCCAAATGAAATGTTAATATCACTTACAACTTATTTTTTTTCTTTTCTGCTTCTTCAAAAGATGGCATTATACGAGGGAGAGTTAGGAGCGCACTCTTGTCTAAACTGGAACATCAACCGGGGTGTTTTTTTTTTTTTCTGCCTCCATTAAAAAATCCACAGTGCTAAATGGGACTTCTTTTTCAAAAGGATCGTCGTCTTTTCAAGCCCTGAAGTTAAAGTGTGCGTGCACGCCTCGAGCTGAAGCCAATGGCCCCTTTAATATTGCTCTTTAACTTACGCGGAGCCGCTTCAGATCAACGTTTCATTAGCCCAAAGTGTAGTAGAGGTGTTTCTCTTCCGAGGAGGTGACTTCTTCTTATACGTACTGAAATCAAAAAGGTTTTTCAGTTTTTTTTAACATGAAAATCTTTGTTTGGCTTGGATTGTTTTGTTCTTATCAAGGTGGAGTCATGTAGCTTTTAAATGAGTCGCAGGCACATTTTACAGTATTTTACTGTAGTCTCTAGCTGTCAGGAAGCCACCGTTAGAATAGATTCATGAGTATGGCTGTATGAGGGCGAGGGTAATGAGGACATAGCCCAAACGACTGGACATTTTCATACACACACACACACACACACACACACACACACACACACACACACACACACACAGAGGAACGGTCACATGCATACACCGCCCCATTTGTTAGTCTGTAAGTCGAGGTGTGGCCCTCACTTCCTCCAGGCCACTAATAAGCTGTTAGCATGACAGATTGATGCTAAAGCAGACACGGTGTGTGTCAGCGTCTGAATTATCACACACTTAGTGAAGCAGGGCTTAAGACACCTCCACCTCCCTCCTCCCCCCCCCCCCCCCTCCCTCACTCACACTTCACACTGTGGTGCAGAGAGCTACTTAGCCAGTGGATTTCAAATGACTGCACGCTGTGTCTCAGTCAGTATGGATGGGGGTGGAATAAGTGGAGTTTTCTGATGGGAGATGGACCGTTTAAAATAACCAGAGAGCAAAATGGAGGAGAAATGGAGCCATTTACTTCAAAGTACAATTTTTAGACATTCTGTGTTCGGTTGATCAGGACCAGGGCTTCAAATAATCCACAACCCTGTTTCTTAAAAGCTGCTAGCTTTAAACACGCTTTTTAAGATGTTAATAAAAAACAATATGATGATTAGCAACAAGCCTATATTTCATTGAAAAGAACACAAAGACAACATGTGAAATATTTAAACTGATTTCATTGTCTTTGGTCGATCATACGTCTATTTTTGATTTTGAAGACAGCAACAAGTTAAAAAAATTCAAAAGAGCTGGGACGGGGTGTTCAGACATGTGGCTGCAGGAGCTTGTTGCGATCAGCGGGAGCAACTTGTGGTTAAGTGTCTGTCCATGGACACATCAGACATGTAACTGCAGGAGCTTGGGATTCGAACCCCCGACCTTCTGGTTAAGAGCTGACCGACTCTAAACCTAACCCTACCACTGAGTCACAGCCACCCCATAAATAGACCAAAATCTGATTCACCCTTCTGTGAAGCTCTGCATTACCTTCTCTTTAAACAACACTTTGTAAGCCTTTAGGGACAGATCGATCCTATAGCTGTTATAGTGAATTTTGTCACCCACTGAAAATGTTCGGTGGTGCATTATGACGCAAAAAATACAGCAAAGGAGACCCTGAACTGAAAACTAAAATGACACCAAATGGTCTCAATCATTTTTCTGAAAGTCTCAGTTTCTCAGTTTAAACATTTGATATGTCTTTGATCTACTTTGAATCAAATTCAGGGTGTCAATCATTTGCAAATCATCACATCTGCTTTTATTGACGTGTTACAAAGCGTCCAAACTTTTAAGAAACAGGATTTTTCAAGATGCTACCTTTTAATAGATAGGTAGGTAGGTAGATAGATAGATAGATACTTTATTGATCCCGAGGGATACTAAAAATAAACTTAGACATAACTGTGTTATAGAGAGTGTTATAAAAGTGGAAGTATTTTTTTATTTATTAGAGAAGCTACCTTTGTGCCAAGAACACCACTCAGTACTCTGCCTCCCTTCCACTGTCTCTCTCTTTTTTTTCGAACTAATTCCACCTGGAGCCGTGTTGTTGTCAGCCAAGTTCAGGCTGCATTGTGTGCCAGCCTCTTGTTTCTGAAGAGGAAGAATTAATGAAGTTTTACAACCCTGAACTCACCTCTAGTATCCTCAGTCTTTGGATTTAGGTCTTACAAAACTAAACTGGTTTCATACTCTTTAAGCCAAAGACAAAAAGAAATTGTTGATGACACTTTATATTAAAGGAGCAATATGTAACTCTGACACCTAGTGTTTAAAACGAGTACTGCAGTTAAAATTCAAACCATTAGAGAGCTGTCTCCCCCCCCCCCCCCCCCCGCCCCCCTCCTCCCTAGAGTCAATACTCAGGCAGGTTGTTATATCGTGGACAATGAAGCTTCAGTGTTTAGCCAGCTCTGCATCGGTCTGTAAAGGCCCCGACACACCAAGGAGATCATCGGCCGTCAGTGTTAGTTGGACCGACAGTGAGCGCCCATTGCCCTAGTTTTTGGCGATGTGTCTGCCTCTGTTGCTACCCGTCGGCCCCCGTTGGCATTTTTTTTCGGCCGATTCAACATGTTGAATCTGCGTCGGTCGTTGTGGTTGGTTAGAGGATTGACTCTGGAAAAGTCCCTTGAGCCTGCCGCTGTAGTATCCACGCTTGCGTTGTGTTCAAGTGCAACTTTTTGACCAAGACAAAGGCAACTTGAGACGACGCCACAGTCGGAAGTGTTCTTTGCCGTCTGCTTGGTGTGTCAAGGCCTTTGACCTTTCTGCGTTCTAACCTCTCTTTCCATTTTTTTCAAAAGCATCTCCAACACTGTTCCTCGTTTGAGCACGTTTCCGCTCGTGGAGCTTATTAGAAACATGCAGAGGCTTTCTAGGTCGGCTAGAACCAATTCTATCTGAGGCCAATGTAGAAGTCTACAGATACGGAGAGCCAATGCGTGCTTATTAGCAGCTGCTTATGGGGAAGTTTACCTCGGTATAAAGTGTATTGTGTTCACAGAGAGGTTGTAGTGTCACAGCTTTTTCCCTCTAACCCACGTTTTGAAGCTTCCCTGTATGACACATTTACACACTGAGGAGGAGTGAGAGAGGACGTGTGTTTGATACAGAGCAGGATGGAGCTGTCTTGGTCATTAGTCTTCCTGTTTTTTTTTTTCTTCTTCTGCAGTGTCTTTATGTGTACATGATCTGTCTCCCACCTGGGAGACGGGCGCACTAAGAACACCTTCGTCCATTAACTATCCTGTAGTCATGCTACTCTGCTCAAGCGTATTGAACTGCAGCACAATGTTCTCCAGGCTTTGCTACTCTCTCTCTCTCTCTCTCTCTCTCTCTCTCTCTCTCTCTCTCTCTCTCTCTCTCTCTCTCTCTCTCTCTCTCTCTCTCTCTCTCTCTCGCCCCCCCTCCCCTCAGCCTGTATGCAGTGGCTGCAAGAATGACTTGTTAAAGCTTTTTTTTTTCTCTGCTTGCACCTCAAACTATGTTTGCCTGTTTGATTTACTTGTCCTCCTCTTCTCTCCCTCTCTCTTCCACACACTCACTCTCCATCTCTTCTACTTCCTCCTCGCTTACTTCCACTCTGCAATGTCTACACGCTTCCTCCTTCAACCTCTATCTCTACCTCTTCTTTTTTTTTCCCCCCTTGAGCGCTTCTCTCCTCTTTTTCTCTTGACTTGGCTGTTGCTCTCCCTCTCTCTTCCTCTCTCGACTTTGCTGTTGCTCTCTCTCTCTCTCTCTCTCTCTCTCTCTCTCTCTCTCGCTCTCTCTCTCTCTGTATCTGCCTGTACCAGGAGCCATGGCTAATCATCTTATAACTAATGCTCTCCTTCGTCCCCATGGTACTAACAATCCTTATAACACTCTCCTGGGGGATTCTGCAGTCTATAACAACCCGGCCGTGGGCATGTACAACACTCAAGGTGTGCCTGATGTTTCCTAATATAATCGTGCATTCCAACATGTTATTGCAAAGTTAGCTCACAAAGTTTCTCCACGTCATGTTTATTTTTGCATGTTTATTCCATTTTATAAAAATGTTTGCCGCTGTGCCGCACTTTAGGCTGCATTTCTGATCCCGCCTTATTATGGCTCCCGAGTGAGGCGATCAATCACACACTGCAATAATATTTTTTTTCCACAAAGGACACCCACTGGGCAGTTCTCAGTGCACATAAATGCAGAGAGGAAATTTCTGTTGATGATTTATCGAAACAGGATAACAAGTTCACATTCTGATTTATTGGATGCCATAGATGCAGGCTATATGAGTCACTGTGTTTTTTTTATAAGCTGCTTGGGAGCCATGAAGGGGTTTTGTGTTCATGTGCCGTCTCAGTTGGTTTTGAATGCTTCCTTGTGTGTCCGACGTGATGTTGTGTGTTGCTCGTCTTAGTGCATGTCTTCTGCTGTTTTGACTGTAATGTGAGGTATGTTTTTCACATGTTTTTTGTCTGTGTTAAGTGAATACAAAGACATACAATAGCTGCCAGTTTATAATGAAACCCTGAAAAGTTTCTTTGTTCCACGTTTGTCATCACGCCTCCAATTGCTGTGAAAATGTTGATTTTTTTTTTTGTAGCTGCTGAAAGTCTCTTCTCTCGATGTATGAACTCACTTTTGTCTCCTTTTTTTTCTCTCTCTCTCTCTTCTCCCTCATGCTGTCCATTAGCACCTTACCGAGACACAAGTACGGGCTGAATTAATCCTCAACTACTTCAATAACATCGACTTTCTTCTCTCTTTTTCTTGCCTCCGAAGCACTCTGTCTTACACTTACAGTCCAATCTCCATCCAAACAGTTGTTTTGTTTGGCTGTCAGCCACGCCAGAGATTTTTTTCACCCCCTCCCCCCCTCAGCCCCCTCCACAAATCATTAGTCAGTCCGTGAAATATAGTCCTCCGATTTGTTTTTTCACACATTTGAAGATTTATTTTCCTTGAAACACTTTAAATGCTCCTTCAATTTAAAAGATGTGTCTCCTTTCCTGAGGGATGATGTTTCTATAACATTTAAATCATCACCACTGAATCTCAGTGATTTGACTTCTACTGGATCAAATGTGCTAATTGACATTTGAAACATAGTTGAGATGCAGAAAGTTTTTTTTTTTTTTTTTTTACCTCTGAAAGGACTTTGAATGCAATAAGTGAAAGTGTTCCTTTGTCACATTCATCTTGTTTTGCAGTCAAACTCTCCACACTTGTCTTTGTGCTGCTGTAGTGCTGGCACTAATTGAGAGAAGAAAGTACTTGTGAGGTTGCTCTTAAATGAATTATGCATTTTTGCTTCCAAGAAAATTATCACTGCTACTTTTTTTTAAATCCTCACTTCTCAGCACAGGCTATGATGTCAAACAGTAATTCAAAAATCTCTCTTCAGAGAAATCCACTCAAAGAATCCTAATCATTCTGATTTCTTTTTCTTTATTTTGTTGCCTTCAGAGGGCATCCTGAACAACGCCAGAGACTCCAGCGTCATGGACACCCTCCCTCTTAACGGTAACCACGCCAACAACTACAGCATGGCCAGCAGCGAGTACTTGAGCGACTGCGTGCAGATTCTGGACCGCAGCGGGGGCTACGGCACCCACGGCAACCACAAGGAGACGACGCTGGAGAAGAAGATCCTCAAGGAGCTGACCTCCAATTACATCCCGTCTTACCTCAACAACCACGAGAGAGCCACCACGGAGCGCAATCACAACTTGATGAACAAGCTGGTCAACAGCAGCATGGCCAATGGAGGTGATTGAAATGTTTATCGAGGTTACAAAGTGCAAGGACAGCAATAATCATACTAAACATAAAACAGGCAGCTCAATGAACCAGACTAAGAAACAGAAGCTGTGAGGCTTATAGAGCGCCACAGGAATGAGTCCTAACACCTGGAAGTAAGTTAGCATTTGAGCGCCATGGGGTCTATCCTCTCAGAATCAATGGGGATTTTGAATGGGTTTGTGGTTGGAGACCTGAAATAAGGTCTGTGGTTAACACAAGCTAAGAGATGTTGGTGCTGTTAGGTTTAATCTTTAGGTTAAGGTGAAGATTATGTTAGTAAACTATTTATTAAGCTACGTGGATTAGTTTATCGGAGATCGTCTGAAGCGTAACGCTAGTGACGTCACAATCATCCCACCGTGGTGTAGTTAGCTTGTAGCATAACGTTAGCTTTTTACTTCCGTCGGCCGCATTAACGCTTCAAACATCATAAAAATGGCGTTCATCTGTGAAGATTATCCTGCTGAACAAAACACCCTCGCTTCAGAAACGTGCGTTTGCCACAGAGCTCATTTTCTGCAGTGATCCAAAACCAGTGCGAAAATCCCATAGGCGAATTCTCGTGAGACCCCGTGGCGATGCTACTTCCGGGTTGGCCTACAAAAATGCGTCATATGGTTTGTTCTCTATAAACTCTGCTGCACCTGCACCTCACTGAAAAATGCTGCACAAAAATAACGGGCATGTGCAACCTCTGGCCACTTGGCAAACTCATACTTACTTACTTACCCTCGCACTTACTCATATTTGATAATGCACTCACAACGGAATTAATATTAATGATATCTTAATATTTTAACTGTGTGCCTCTGAATATATTGTTATATATATATTTTATTACCTACTCGCTTTTATTTTTATCTTATCATTATTTTACTTCTATCATTAATTTTATTGCTCGGGATCGTTCCGCTCTTTTGTCCCACATGTTTCCTGGAATGACAATAAATGAACCTTGAAATCATAAACAAAGGCCATTTTACATTTTACATATTAGACATTTTAAAAAGTAAAAATCCAGTAAAAAGTCAAATTTAGTAAAATGAGGAAAGACTTGCTGGTAAGAAGGTAAGAAGCAATTACTGACTCAGCTGACCTGATTTCCTCGGGCAGATCGTTCCACACTTTAGGAGCCCTCACAGAAAACGCTCTTTCCCCATTCCCCTGTGAATTGAAGCCACTTTCTGATTAGGTATTATAGGGACGATGCAGATTTGAATTCTTGCAGTGTCACTGCTTCTTGTCATAATGAGCAGAACTGTTTTAACTCTCCTCCCGCCTGGTGTTTCAGGGAGCATGGCAGGAGGCAGCAGCAGCAGCAGCAGCAGTGGAGTGAGCGGATGCGTCGGCAGCGGTAAAGAGGACAACGGTCCCATGGTGCTGGACAACCCCGCGGCGTTCCCGCATGAGGAGAACCTCGGCCTGGAGATCATCAGAGAGGAGTCCAACGCCCCGCTCCTGCCTCCGCGGCCTCCTCCGCCAGACAGCCACCCGCCGCCGCCGCCTCCGCCCCACAGCTTCTCGCGGCCGAGGCGCATCCCCCAGGAGACCAGCGAGAGCTTCTTCCCCCTGCTGACCAACGAGCACACCGACGAGCACACGCACTCGCCCAACCACAGAGACTCGCTGTACACCAGCATGCCCGTGCTGACGGACCTCCCAGACGGCCAGATGAACGGTTTAACGGACGGAGAGGAAGAGAGCTCGGGCGAGCTGCAGCCGTGTAAGAGCGCCACTGCCCCCGAGCTGGACGACGTCTATTACAAGAGCATGCCAAACCTGGGCTCCAGGAATCACCTCCACGAGCTGCAGAGCTACTACCACATGGGCCGAGGCGGCAGCGATGGATACATGGTGTCCGGCAGCAAGGACGAGTCGGATTCGTCGCCCGAGGAGCCGCCCATAGACCCTTCCCACCTGGTCACGAGTCTATAGAGCCAATCAAGAGACTTCTATCCCTCCCCCAGCCCACCTCTCACATCTCCAACTCTCCAATGAAAAACATTCTGTGTCGCTGACTGACCGTGTGAGCTGGCCCCCCGGGCGCTGGGGTGATGTAATGTTTTTTTGGACATTAACTATGATTCATGACAATAATGTAAGAGATGTCGCTGGTCAAATGGGAGCGGGAACTGAATGTATTGTCATAAATGGTGCGGAGTGAAAGGGGCCGACCTGAGAGAAAGTGAACTTTGAACCCTTAGAAGGAGAGGACGAGGGAGGGATTCTGTAATTTTTCGCCCCACCTGTTACTTTAATTAGGATTCTTGGATGGACAGAAGCCCTTTCAAGTTCCTCAGTATGGACCTCTAGCAGATCATAGAATATAGCCTCCACTACCACCGACCACCACAGGGAAGCTGCCCACCCCCCCCCCCGACCCCTGACCCCTGACCCCCGGTACAGGAGCTGCTTGTTTGTCCGTCTCTCTCTGTCTCACTCTAAAAGACACCTACAGGGATAATGTTTCCTTCTCTGGTGGTCACTACATTAACTGGCCGTAAAGAGGCCCCGCCCCCACTACCTGCCAATCAAGTGGAGGATGTATGATATATGCCCTTCACTACGGATCATCCCAAACAACTTTTTTTAAAACCCTGGGCAACCGAAACTGTAACCATATCACGCTGATGTTTCTGAATTCTCTACCTGGTCGTTATCTGCTCAAACTGGAGTTGTGTATGGGTTTGTGTAACATTCCTGCGAGTTGTAGTGACTGCGGCTACTGTGTTATTTCACTGAAAACAAAGACGGACGATCATATACTACAGAAAAAAAACAACAACAAAAAAAAAAACATGAGTTTTTTCTTCTGCAAACGTTTTTGGGGTTCTGGAAGGATTCAGAAGAAATCACAAACTGTTTCTATGTATTGTACAGAATACAGAATACAGAATACAGATGTTGCATATGACCAAGTCTTTACTTTTGTTTTCTTTTTTTTTTTTCAGTTTTGAGTTGCAAACCTTTTTGTCTGTGGAACTGTTCCGATGTGTCCATGATGTGTTCTGGTCACGTGTAGACCGCAGGACGACGGGCAAAGAACAATCTTTCATGTCACTTCTTTTTCGTAATTAAAGAGACAGTAACGCACTCCGTCATTTCACACGCATTTACCCTCAGCACACCTCGTCCCTCTCCTTTTTATAGCAAACGTCACTGGCACTTACATTTCGCAGATCAGTTGTTACTATATACTTTTTTTTACCACTGTGTAGATTGAAAAAAAAAATTAAAAAAGGGAAAGTAAAAGTGGCAAAGTTGTGAAAGAGATGGTATCTTTTAGAAAAGACTCGCACTCCTGTCTGAGTCTCTGCTGGCGGCGGGTCTCATCTCATGCATTCTTGATAAAGCATTTTCTTTCCTTTAGGCACAACGCTGCTTTATGAAGCATTTTCTCTCTATTGCCAAATATTCTACAAATTGACATTACCTTGCTGTGCTGGTCCAGATCTTATTGTAAAGAGGGGGAAAAAAGAATAAATATAATTCTCTCAACTTTAAAAAAAAAAGAAAAAAAAAAAAGAGCGGGTTTCACTCGTGAAGTTTCCCGAGTGCACCGTGTCTGTGTAAAGATGTGAGCACACATCAGCACTGTCCAATGTGGAAAGCCAATGTTTACTTATTTAGGAGAAAGATTTTTTATAAGTGTATGAAGTGTAGCTTGCACATGTATCCCACAAGCCCCTCCTCCCTCCTCCTCCTCCTCCTCCTCCATGCCCCCCAGAGAGAAATTATTTATTTATCTGTTTATTGGTTCTAAAGACAGCGAAAACAAGCTGAGAGGAAAGAAGGCCGGCTGTAGGCGGGAGGACATCAAGTGGCACTGGGTTTGTTTTCTGGTTCCATTTTTTTAAATTATTATGATCATGATTATTCTTACGATATTATTGATAATTATTTATTCTTTTTGTATGGGTTCCAAGTTGAATGATCTCATAACTAATATTTGTTGTAACAGTGAAAGTTGTTTGCCAACAAATAAATTACTGACATAGCTTTGTGGGGTTTTTTTTCTTCTCCTGGGTTTCTGACATCAGATTAAAAGCAAACACAAAGTTATCCAAACATTGTTTCCACCTCAGATAAGAATTTCTAACCATTCAGGGAGATGTATGTATTTAGTTTGTAAAACATTTCTGTTCACGTCTGGGATGAAAATCTGTGTTTTTTTTCTCTTCAGCTGTACAGGCAAATGTTTACTGACCAACCTGAGGTAATTTATTTTAAACAGTGTTTTGCTTTAATCAGTTCTGCAATGTAGGCTGCACGGCGTTGCGATAGTTAGCGCTGTTGTCTCACAGAGAGGAGGTTCCTGGTTTTAATCCCCGTCGGACAGGAGCCTCTCTGTGTGGAATTTGCATGTTCTCCCCGTGCATTTCTCCGAGTTCTCCGGCTTCCTCCCACAGTCCAAAGACCTGCTCGTTAGGTTAACTGGAGACTCTTAATTGTGGGTGTGAATGTGAGTGTGGCTGGTTGTCTGTCTCTATATGTCAGCTCTGTGGTATTCAGTCCAGGGTGTAACCCCGCCTCTCGACCAATGAGACAGCTGGGATCGGCTCCAGCTCCAGACCCCAAACGATAAAAGAAGTAAAGATAATGGATGGAGTTCTTCAACTAACTACACAACTATTTACATGTTTCAAGGTGACAACCTGTAAAAGGACTACAGCAGCATTAAAGGTGTGATATGTTGGATTTTTACACCAAAAAATCTAAAATAATTAAATTGACTAAGGTCGTTGTTATATATATTTTTTGTTGAGTACTTACATTACCTCAAATATTTCCAACACTTGTCAAAGCCAGAGAAATCCTTACTTTGATAGTTGTTACTGGAAGTGTCTTTTGTGGCGGCTGCCGTGACAGAGCCGCCATTAAAGACAAGACGTGTTTATCGTTGCCATGGAAACACTGGATCTTACGTCAAAGAGCGCTGCATAAGGAAGCGGGAGCTGCTACTGAAAGCTGCTGTATGTGCTGCTGTGATAAAAACATCATGTAAAATTATACTTTGATACATCCTCTGTAAACATAATCTCTTCATCAGGTCAGAGAATCACTCCCATGATTCCCCGCCAGCCTCGACATCATCTTATGTTATTGTTTTGATTGAGAGCCCCCTGATGTTGCCCCCACATAATTGCCATACTGCGTGTGTTCAAAGCAACTTTTCACAGCCTCTAGGGAATGTCTGAAAAAAGTGTATTTCCTAAAAACTGTCTAGAAATTGTCAGAACAGCCTGCCCCTGAAATGTTCCCGAGTTGCTTATTTCCCATACGTCCCTCACAGCGTGAAGTCTTTCCTGTTGGACAGTGGGTGAGGGTGTGTGTCTGTGTGTGTGTCTTGTCACATCCTGGACTGACTTCCTAATGGTTTTGGAAGTCAGAGCAGGATGAGCATGCTGTTGTCGACACGGGGATCATTCAGTGGAACAGAAACTTACTTACACAAGTGTGACCAAGTCTTAGTTTGGCCAATATAATCGGCGATGTTCATGGATGGGTACTGTTGCTTTTGGAGGATCATGTCTGACAATACTGACATAATGCTGCTAATTTGAAGTTTGCATGTTCTCTCTGTTTGCAAGAGTTTTCTCTGAGGGCTACGGAAGCCCTAAGCAGACATGCATAAATACATTTTATTTAAATCAATTAATTATGATTAGAGTAATTTTTGGGGTTGTTTTCTTGAGATGTCACCTCGTTTATCTTGTTATATGGGGATAAAAACACTTGTTTTCCCATTACTCATTTATTTCTCAGGATTTGAAAAGCAATACTGTAATTATGGGAAAATAGTGTTCAATAAAATGTATGGAAGCATGTCTCCTTAGGGCTTCCTTAGGGCTAGGTTTCCCCAGCAATTAAAATCATGCACGTTAGCCTAGATACATTCTCCTGTCGAAAACCCTTTGCTCAAGCTGGAGATAGAAATGGAGTTGGCCCCAGTGGAAGGAGGAAATCATGTGAAGCAGGATTTTTTTCCCTGCAGTTTATCAATGAGGTCGGTGCTTTTACCCCCCTGCCATTTCCATCTGTATCCACAAGGCCAACATGATATGTTCAAAATGGACAGTGATGATGATTGCTGTATCTTACATTATCCAGAAGGGGTGTTAAGGTTACCCTGTGCTTTGGCCAAATGGCACAAAGATTGTTTTTTTATCTCTACGGTTGGCCTTGTGCAGTGACGATCTAGATGTCCTTGAGGGTCCCTGTTCAGGAAAAGTGAAAGGATTGACTCCTGTCCGCTGCTCTTCAATCAAAGAGATTCTTTTTATTTCCTCTTGCCTTGAAAAACCACAGCCTATCAAAGCTCTGCCGCCATTCCTCCTGCAAACAGTCCATTAAGACATGTTGAGCTTTTGGATTGACCACACATTCCAGAAACCCTGAAGATGTTGGATTAGACCACCTGGGACCCTCCTGTTTGGCAAAACGTATCATCCTTGTATTTGAATTCTGACCTTGGCCTCTGAGGGAGATTCATCTGCACAAATAGTTTGAAAATTTCTGAAACATGTTGCAGTGATTCCAGCTTAAGCTAGGCTAATGCTGTTTTATGCATTCCTGAAAATGTGGAGACAATTCAGGACAACCTGCCCTGGAAATCTCCCCCCAAGTTGCTTATTCATACATGTCCCTCAACGTGAAGGTTTCCCCATCAGACAGGAGGGGGCGGAGTCTTATGTGCCCACTGAAAGCCACAAATTCGCCTGGAGTAGCGCCGCTCATCGTCGCCGGTCACTTCTTGTCTTGAAATTGAAAACCAACTCTTCTCCAAGGTTTATGAACTTAACGGTACATATGTTTTCCTTTCATGTATGATTATGACATAAGGTCCTGTCTCTAGGTGAAGGCATAAGAAAGCCCAAAAAACAAACCTTTGAAAAAGGATTACGGCCTAGACTGTACCTACATGGGCGAGGCATACGCCAAGTTAATAAGGAAGGAGGGCGAATGGATGAGAGGGAGGGTGGGTCGAAGGACACACAGGAGTGGAGTGAGGTGAACAGTAGACTTGTCAGGTAATTGAAGCTGTAGTTTAGGCTTGGTCCTGCTCCCAAAACCTAACTTAATACATTTACTTCATTTCTGCGGTCACACATCAGTTCACATTGTGAGTGCGCCCACTGAATGCCACGACCCTACCGCAACAGCAGCTTCCATCATTACCAGCTCTGGAAGGCGAGTTTCTTACTCTGTACCAACTCCACAAAAGAATCGGCTCGAAAAGTTTTAAGAGGGGAAAGAAACAAGACGGCGGCTCTACCATCAGTGAAGCTGCCAAATCCACACGTGGCGTTACTTAACTACTACTTGGAGGAATGGATGGGCTGAGAAATGATCGCTTCTGGGATTTGTAGGC